TGACCAAAGCAAGATTCCTCGTGTGTGTGTGTTTACTATTTTAGGAATTGTAATTTTTTTCACTATTTTGATGCATAGCGTCAAATTTACCATTTTTGCCCAGCTGGTGTTGCTCAGTGATTGAGCATCAATCTATGAATTAGAAGGTCACAGTTTGATTCCTGATCAGGGCACATGCCCAGGTTGCAGGCTTGATCCCCAGTAGGAGGTGTACAGGAGGCAGCCGATCAATGATTCTCTCTCATCACTGATGTTTCTATCTCTCTCTCTCCTTCTTCCTTTGTCTCTGAAATCAATAAAATGATATATTTTTTTAAAAGAATAATAGATTAATAGATAGATGAATAACGAAAAAGGCTTTATATCTCATATTTTCAAAAAAGCTTTCACTTCATAAGTCCACTACTGGTCAATTTACTTTAAAGAGAAGTTTCCTAAGTACTTTTATAATATGAATGAACCTGGGAAATAAGACTACAATACCTTGTCAGAAAGCACAACTATGGACAAAGTAAGATTTACCCACATGCAGTAAGTAATGTCTCCATGAACTCACCTGAACCTAACAGTTTACTTCGTTAGTGTTTGTTTTACTATCCAATATTCTTCTTTTACAGGTATTTGATTTCACGATCATAGACTTGACATCGGAGACTGATGAAATTCCAGATATTATAGCTTTGGAAGAAGAGGATGGATCAAACCATTCACACGCTAATAACCCTGAGTCCTCTCAGGGAGAAATGTTGAAAAACTAACAAGAAAATATTTCTTTGTCTGAAAACAAAATTTGTGTCATATTAAACTTCATGTTTGCTCATGTGTTTATTCCTGTGGCTTTGGAGATTAATCTTTTGGGGGTTAGTCTATTTTTTTTTAATTACAGGGCTTAATTGTAATGAAACTTGGATCTAAACTTTTATAAGAGATCCTAGTTCTGTATCATATATCATTTAATAGAGTCCTTTGAAGTTTAATCATTGAAATGCCTGTAATAAAAATTGGTCTGTATAATCGTGAATTGTTGTGTGTGTTTGTATTAATAGAGTGAAGATTTTTTTGTGTGTGTGTGTGTTTTGTTTTGCCTCCCAGGATTCATTTTTGCTTCTTGTGGTATCAGAGAACTTTTGTATCTTTTTTTTTAAAAAAAGTTCTTTATTGATTTTAGAGAGAAAGTGAGAAAAACGTTGATCGGCTGCTTCCTGCACGCCCCCCACTGGGGATCGAGCCTACAACCTGGGCATGTGCCCTGACTAGGAGTCAAACATATGACTCTAGGGTGCACAGGATGATGCCCAACCAACTGAGCCATTATGGCCAGGCCAGAATCTTTGTGCCTTTTGGGTTGGGGGAGGGTGTCTCAGTCAAGGGTTTTTGCTTTTCCCTAGCCTAGGTGTGGGCACATGACTGAAAACAGATCAACTGGGAGAAAGCATATCATGATTGGTAAAGATTTATGAGCTTTTAATTCGACTCTGGGCTCTAATCTTGGCTCTGCCACTTACTAGCTGTGTGACCTTAAACAAGGTCTGTGTACCTCAATTTCCTCATCTGTAAAATGGGGATAATAGTAGGTTTGTCATAAAGAATCAAAAATCAATTGAAATTTGTAAAAAGCTTAGGTCCTCAAACTTTTTAAACAGGGGGCCAGTTCACTGTCCCTCAGACATTCCACACATGCGCACTGCGGCCCGGGACTAGTCAGCTGCTAAGCAGGACAGGCAGCGGCAGCAAAAACACCCAGCGGGCCCGATAAATGTTTTCAGCGGGCCGCATGTGGCCCGCAGGCGGTAGTTTGAGGACCCCTGGCTTAGAGTAATGGCTGACATAAAGCAGCATTATTTAAATATTAGTTAAGTAAATTGTAGAAACAATGGCCAACCAAGGAGCAATAAGCATCCCTAGTGTCCAGGTTATAGTTTTAAAAAATATATGTTTTTATTGATTTTTTAGAGAGGGAAAGAAGTAGAGGGATATAGACATTGATCCACTACCCCCTGCATGGCCCCTACTGGGGAACAAGCCCACAACCCAGGCATGTGCACTGACTGGGAATTGAACTGGTAACCTCTTGGTTCATAGCTCAATTCTCAACTACTGAGCCACATCAGCCAGGCCAGGCTGTAGTTTTGAAATACCTTTTCCCACTAAAAGAAACCAGAGCTTACTGGACAAATGGCTGATTCCAGGTCTGAAGAATCGTATAAAGTGAGCTTTGAGCTTTTTGTTATTGCAGATAGCAAGGAAGCCAAGTTAAAGAGACTCCCATTGACCAAAGATGGGCAATCTTGAACTTCAATAAGGATAATAATTTCAATAGATTGAACCCCATCAAATGTGAACCCCACACAATCTTCAAATATTCAATCTAATTGGTCACCTTCAGGGGATGATAGCAAACCAATTCTTTATCTTTTTTTAAAATTTTTTTTAAAAATATATTTTATTGATTTTTTACAGAGAGGAAGGGAGAGAGATAGAGAGTTAGAAACATCGATGAGAGAGAAACATCGATCAGCCGCCTCCTGCACATCTCCTACTGGGGATGTGCCCGCAACCCAGGTACATGCCCTTGACTGGAATCGAACCTGGGACCCTTCAGTCCGCAGGCCGACTCTCTACCCACCGAGCCAAACTGGTTTCGGCCAATTCTTTATCTTGAAAACTGGTAAATAAAGGAAAAGAATTTAGCCTTCCTTATATATTTACCACTAGGTAAACAAATGGTAAATGAGGGAAAATTTCTCTCATAAAAGTATTCCTGCCCAAACCAGTTTGGCTCAGTGGATAGAGCGTGGGCCTGCGGACTCAAGGGTCCCAGGTTTGACTCCGGTCGGGGGCATGTGCCTTGGTTGCGGGCACATCCCCCCTGGGGAGTGTGCAGGAGGTGGCTGATCGATGTTTTTCCTCTCATTGATGTTTCTGACTCTCTATCCCTCCCCCTTCCTCTCTGTAAAAAATCAATAAAATATATATATTTTTAAAAAAGTATTCCCACCAACAAATGAAAAATAAATGATACCTTAGTCAGTTTGAGGTGCTACAACAAATTACCTTAGACTGAGTGGTTCAAACAAAAAACATTTTTCGCTCAGAGTTCTGGAGGCTGGAAGCTTGAGATCAGGGTGCCAGGATGGTCGGGTTTTGGTGAGGGTCCCTTTCCAGGGTGCAGAAAGTCAACTTCTCTTTCTAGCCTCACAAGCTGGAAAGAGTAATGAAGGACACTCTCTTGTGACTCTTATGAGGGCAGTAATCCTATTAATGAGGGTTCCACCCTTGTGACTTCATCTAATCCTAATTACCTCCCAACTTTTAATACAATCACATTCGAGTTTTAACAAACAAATTTGGGACATGGGCACAAGTATGCAGTCCATGACAAGTGATAAATTAGAATTGCATCATTTTGTAATTCCCAGTGAATTAAGGTATTTATTTATTTAAAAAATATATTTTTTATTGTTTTCAGAGAGGAAGGGAGAGGGAGAAAGAGAAACATCAATGATGAGAGAGAATCATTGATTGGTTGCCTCTTGCACGCCCCCTACTGGGGATCAAGCCAGAAACCTGGGCATGTGCCCTGACGGGAATCTAACCCCAGACCCTTCAGTCTGCAGGCTGACGCTCTATCCACTGAGCAAAACCAGCTAGGGTGTCAGTGGGATTTTGATGGGGATTGCACCATCACCCAATCTAGCCAAAGGGATCATACATGAGTTTAAGCAACCTCTGGATCCAGCTGCCAATTTGAAAATTTGGAGGACAGAGCGAGTGGAACATGTTGAACTGCACTGTGAGGATGCTCTCTGTATGTTAAATTATATTATTAAAACAAACCAACAAGCCTTGGAAAGACAAAAAAAAAAAAAAGCGCCAAGATGAATATAAAAAGGGCGAGACCAAATTATAGTGGGTAGGGAAGGACACTTGGACGGTAAAACTACAAGACAAGGAAAGTAAGTGATTCCTACAAAACTGACAATGGTGGTTACTTTTTGGCAGAGGGACTGGCTGGAGTTTTACTTTGTCAACATAAGAAATGTCCAAACCTGGAGAGACTTTTTATGAGTTTGAGATACACTGATGACATTGCTGGAAAGCAAGATCTCAGATACTGAGGAGAATGACGGTGTTGCAGTTACTTTTATCTGGAATCAAGGAGGGAACCTAAAGAAGCCTACATGAAGGTGGGGAAAAGTAAGGCAGGAAGTCACTATGACTGGATTACTGGATACTGAAGATAGGTGCTCTCTCCATGGTCGTTGCATTTCTGAGGGCGTCGGGAAAAGTGGCATTTTAAAGGTGTGCTGACCTCGCCTAGATCTAGACTCAGAGGTTAGGTGACTTGTTCAGGGCCGCACAGCCAGCGAGAATAGCTGAGGATGGAACCCAGCGCTTTTTCCACTACACGGAGCCACAGTCCAGCACGTACGGCTTTTATCTGAGGAACCAGGTCTATAGCAGCGGTTCTCAACCTGTGGGTCCCAACCCCTTTGGGGGGTCGAACGACCCTTTCACTCGGGTCGCCTAAGACCATCGGAAAACACATATTGAATATATAATTACATATTATTTTTGTGATTAATCACTATGCTTTAATTATGTTCAATTTGTAACAATGAAAATACATTCTGCATATCAGATATTTATGATTCGTAACAGTAGCACAATTACAGTTATGAAGTAGCAACGAAAATAATTTTATGGTTGGGGGTCACCACCTTTATGGTATTCAAGGGTCTCGGCATTAGGAAGGTTGAGAACCACTGGTCTATAAGAACAAAAGGAGCCCCAATGCCTCACATTCAGAGAGCGGGAAGAGGGAAAGCCGCTTAAGCGACCTATTGCGATTGCGCAAGCGCAAAAAAATTAGCTGGCCACGCAATGCACTGTGGGTCTTGTAGTTTCTCCGCTGGGTCTCGCGGGAAGGGACCGAGGGAAGAGCGCATTGCATGGCGGGAGTTGGAGTCGGCGGCGGAATTCCCTCCTCCCCCGGAAGCCAGGCGGTGCGCACGGACCGTTCTGCTGGAAGCGCGGGAGTCTCGGTTTGCGGCGGCTTCGGCAGCTGTGTTGAGTTACAGTTAGGGAGGCTCCGCTTCCCTGGGACTTCACGATCCTGCGAGGCGAAATGGCCCCGGACTAGAGAGGCCCAGGCGGTGGCAATGCGGGGGCCGCCGCGACCCCAGGCTGCTTGCAGGAAAGGAGCCTGAGGGCGCTCGGAGTCGTGTGGGCCTTTCCTTTCTTCCTTGGTAGTGACAGTGCCGACTCCGAAGATGAGCTTCTCCCGTGGCCCCTCTTTCAAGAAGGAGCATCTTTGGATGTATCTGCAGACGCTCGGCTTCGAGCCAGGCCCAGCCGCCACGGCCTGCGGGAAGGTGGCATCACACGCGCACCTCGGAGTGTAAGGAGACCGGCGGCGGGGCGGGGCGGGCGGGGGGCCTGAGCCGGGCGGGCTGATGACCCGCCCTGGCGCGGACCCGCTGCCTTAAGAGTCTCTAGGCTGGTAGTGGTCCTGCCTTCCGGCACCGGCTACACAGCCTCTGCCCCCGGTGGCTGCCCGCCTAGTGGCTGAGACCATCTGTCAGGCAGCCGTGCCGGGAGCTTCGTAGGGGAATAGACTCTGCGTCTGGGGCACAGCTGGAGGGGCACCTTCCCGCTGCTTGGGTGGTAAAGCTGCGCGGTCTGTGCACTCGGAGGGGTGGGGCGGGCGGGGGTGCAAGCCGGTAGTGCAGGGACCGGAGAACAGTATAGCACACGCCTGGAGCGCTCAAAGGAGCCTTTCGAGCTGGTTGCTGTTGAGTTTATAATTTTTACGTTTGAATTAGCAAACAGGCATGCCACACTTAGCAAAAAACAGAGAAGGTATTAAGATGAAAAGTAAAAGCCTCTTCCCTACTTTGCCACTAATGATATGGTTATGATTTACAAATCTAAATATTTTGTTTATATTTTTGTGTCTTACCAGTTTTTTTTTTTATTTTTTTAAATATGTTTTTATTAATTTCAGAGAGGAAGGGAGAGGGAAAGAGAGAGAGAGAAACATCAATGATGAGAGAGAATTATGGATTGGCTGCCTCCTGCACGCCCCCCCTCCCCCTCACCGGGATCGCTACCTGAGCATGTGCCCTTGACCAGAATCTAACAGGGACACTTTAGACCACAGGCGGATGCTCTGTCCACTGAGCCAAACTGGCTAGGGCTTAATTTACCAATTTTAGACAATATCTGATTTTCCCACTATCGGCCAAGAGAAATTTGGGGTACATTGGCTACCCCCGTTCTCAAATCTTCTTGATTTAATTATGTTATTTCAGTTATTCTAGTGGCAGTGTTTTAAGCATGTATTTAGACCTCTATTTCTTTTTTTTAAAATAAATATTTATTCACATTATTACAGATGTTCCTCCCCGCCCTCCCCCCGCCCCCCCATAGTTCCCCTCCACCTGGTTCCCACCCCACCCCATGCCCTTACCTCCCGCCACTGTCCTCATGCATAGGTGTAAGATTTTTGTCCAATCTCTTCCCTCACCTCCCACACCCCCTTCCCCCCGAGAATTGTCAGTCCACTCCCTTTCTATGTCCCTGCTTCTATTATATTCACCAGTTTATTCTGACTTAATTTTTAGATTCACTTGTTGATAGATATTTATTTGTTGTCACTTTGTTCATAATTTGTATCTTTACCTTTTTCTTCCTCTTCCTCTTCTTAAAGGATACCTTTCAGCATTTCATATAATCCTGGTTTGGTGGTGATAACTCCTTTAGCTTTTCCTTATCTGTGAAGCTCTTTATCTGACCTTCAATTCTGAATGATAGCTTTGCTGGATAAAGTAATCTTGGTAGTAGGCTCTTGCTATTCATCACTTTGAATATTTCTTGTCACTCCCTTCTGGCCTACAAAGTTCCTCTGCTCCTGTTGCCTCTGCATCTCCTACCCAGTCTCAATGCACTTTTTTCTTTTCTTCTAGTTGTAGAACTTCCACTCGGCCGGCTTTCCCGTGGTTCTGGATGATAGCTGTTTTGTCTTTTAGTTGTAGTTTTAATGTGGTTGTGGGGGGCAGCACATACAGGTTTATACCTTATGCCGCCATCTTGGTTCTCTAGACCTCTATTTCTTGATGTATCAATCTAAAAAATGTCTCTTGATTCTCCACTGTGTAATTTCACCAGGAAGGAAGCTATTATCCATAAGATAATTAGCTCACCTACCTTTCCCTGCCCCCCTCTGCCTTCTCCCTTAAGGCTTAGAGATGTGATTAAGTTTTGTTTGGTAATTATTTGTTTAGAAGTTACTGCTATTTCCATGTAGAAGTGTTTTGTTTAGGAGTCTGTTCTAAAAATTGATAGTAGTGGATAGCATTTATCAGGTTATGATTATGTATTAGTAAGTACTTCATTTATTTTGCATGATTTGATGCCCCACGGCACAGTCTCATTTTCTCTGTACTGTCAAAGAAGCTTAGAGCCTCTCCAGGCCTCCACTGAGAATGGTTCTTGTTGCCACTACATCCTTCTCTCCAGTGTTTTAGCAATCTTAGTTTTCTCTGCTCTGGTTTGTTCCATTGTAATCTGCTTTTGCCTTTGAAATTTAGTAAAATCTGTCAAGTCTGGTCCAGTGACTGCAGTTTTTCTTTCTTTTTCCACCACTGTCATTGATTTCCCCCCCTCCCCTGAGTCTTTAGAGTAATTTCAGTGGGTTATTTGGAAACAGATTTCCCCTTTGAAATGCTTTAAGCATGAATGTGGCATCAAATTATTTTGAAACATATTTTTATTTTTATATATAAAAGGCTAATATGCTAAATATCTGTTTGACCGATAGCTATGATGCGCACTGACCACCAGGGGGCAGACGCTCAACACAGGAGCTGCTGAGCTGCAGTAACTTGGCAGTGGTGGTTCTCGGGTGGTGCACCCCAAAACCAGAGAGGAGGGAGCCCAATTTTTTGTGGGGCCAGAGGATTCCACCTTCGGCTGTGGGTTATGTTGTTGCTGGGGCGCTGTGGGCCCGAATCTGGTTTACTGCACACTCGTGTTTGCGTTCCACACCCTGTACGACAGCAACTTTACAGAGGGCCCTCTCGCACTCTGGGACCCCTTGGGGGATGTCTGAGAGCCGGTTTGGCCCCATCCCTGCAGGCCAGGCCGAGAGATCCCACCTGCCGGACGGACCCCGCTCACTCCGCAGACACCCTTCGAGCCACGGTGCCACCCCAGGTGGGCTCCAGGGCCTGTCTTGCCCAGTCCCGCCCCGCCGGCCACCTTCTAATTAATTTCCATTTCAGTGTGCCCAAATCTGTGCACTGGGTCACTAGTTCATTTATATTCGTATATGGTAAAATACATTTTTTTGGTGTGCAGTTTTGTCAGTTTCTAGTTTCTGTGAGTATGTAGTTGTGTAGCCACTTATAAAGTTAAAAATATGCTTAATATATAATACAGCCATTTCATTGCTATGTATTTGCCCAAAAGATTTGCATTTTGGAAAAATCATTCTGGTTGCATTACAGAGAATGGATTAAAGTGGGACTCAGGGCATTGGAGTTAGGTAGGCCTAAACCAAGGTAGCAGTGGGAATGGAAAGAAAAGGTGATTTATTCATTTGTTAATTCAACAAATACTAGTTGAACACAGTATTGGAACTGGGTGAACAGAATAGACAAACTTACCTTATAGAGTTTTAGTCTAGTGGGTGAACAAATATCTTCAACAGATATTATTAAAAATTAAAATAACTGTCAAAGAGAAGAAGCAGGATACTTTGTAAATAAAAATAAGTGCGATAATAAGGAGGTAAGATTTGTGTTGAGGAGTACAGACATTTCAAGGACAAAGAGTTGTTTGACATATAAGTATGGAAACTTAAAAAAATGTTTTCTCTTGATTTAAAAAATTAATTTACTTATAATTATAGTTGACGTAGTATTATGTTAGTTTTAGGCGTACAACATAGTGATTCAATAGTATCATACCTTACAAAGAGATCAACACAATAAATCTAGTAACCATTTGTCACTGTACATGGTTATAGCATGGGAACTTTAACATTAACTCTATTTTTTAAAATCTCAAGATAATAGTTTTATGTATTCATAGAAGGAATACTCACATCTATTTGTCATTTATTCTAGTAACTCACAGCCCATTTTTTAATTGCCTAACTCCTAATCCTGTTTATTTTTAGAGTCTGAAAACAAGGAATTACCCAAGTGAGATATTCCTTCAGGTCATTGTTGAAAATGTATTAAACATGAAAATATCTCGGGTTTTTATTCCAAATGTTAAAACTATTTTATAATAGCACATAGAATTCCCTTACATATATTTTATTATGTTCTAATGAGTTTCCTTCTTTATTATAATGGCTTCAGTTTCTTCTGAGACCTTTATAGTTATTTGATTTTATTGCTTTTAACTTCTCTTGATACTTGAGTTGTATCCATGTAAATTACTTTTTTTTTGTGGGGGGAGGGGGCAAATGACCTTTTCATAATAGGTTAATGGGGGAGCACTCATAATTTTTTATCTGTAACTTCCACAGGTTCTTTCCTTCTTCAGTATAAGCATTAACGTCTATTAGGATATATGTTCCTTTTTTATCCCTTGCTTATCCAGAGATCTTAAATTGCTTTTGTTAATTTTCCATACTACTACCCACACTTCACTGGCAAGACTTTGAAAAATGGTGGCTCTCCCTCCATGCCAATTTTGAGTTGTTTTGCCTTGGGAATTGTCAAAGTCAAGCTTAAAATCCTCCAGGTGGGCTATGCAGCAGAGCATGGTTTCCGAGGTGGATCTTCTCTGCCCTAGAAGAAGTTCAGAAAACTCTTCCTCCTAGCCTGGGCAGTCCCCAAAGCCTGAATTTCCCACTCCCACCAGACACCTCCACAGCCCTGGGATCCCCAGAGGGGTGTGAGGAGGGGACATGGACCATAGAGCAGTAGCTGACCTAGAGGTTGCCAATACCTGTGTGACATTTCTTACAAGGCTTAGATTTTGTTTTGTTTTTTACATACTGTATTTATTTTTTTAAGTTTTTGTCTTGATTAGTGAGGGAAATCAGGACAATAAAGACTCTTCAGGGGATTGCTAGAATTACATTATAAGGATGGTTCTAGGAATAAAATGTAATAGTAAAGACCCTAGACTCTGGGGTCAGATAACATACTGCAAATCACTGCTTTTCCATTCCTGGTTATGTAATTTTGGGCAAATTATCTATTTTCTCTAAAGTTTACATTTCTTCATCTGTTTAATGGGGATAATCCAACTACTTTCTACTATCATTAAGATTAAATAAAATAATCCATGTTAAAGCAATTGGCATAGTACTTAATTAACCTCATATGATTGTGTTAAAAATTAGATGAGTTACTACCTATAAAAGGCTTAAGGTAATACTTGGAAATAATAAATTCAATAAATATTAGCTGTTTTTTATTGTTATTCAATAAATGTTGGTTGGTATCATTAGCTTCCTTGTATCATAGTCCATGCATGGTATTCTCCTCCTAATTAGCCTTTCCTTTTTTTTTTTTTTAGAATGTTCTCACTGTAAGTTTTCTTTTATTTGATCTGTTCTTTCAGAATCAGAAATAAAACTTGTATGTTTTTCTTAACTTGTAAAAATGTACATGAATGAGAAAAGTTAATTTGCCTTGATCTCTTGAAGAGAATTAAAAATATTAATTTGTGTCAAACTCTTATAAAGCTTTCGATGATATTTAGTTTTATTAACCATTTTTCTTTTTGTCCCCTGCTTTTATTTCTTTTTAAACAATTAGGAACATGTTCGACAAGCCAAACCGTGATGCCTTTCAAATAGTGTCTTATTTCTTGTTTCAAACGCTGGACCAGTCTCTCACCAAAGAAGTTTTCAAGTGAGTAAAACTTTTTTTTTTTTAAAAATAACTTCTTCTTCTTTTTTTTTTGTAACTAGTCATTCTCAAACTTGAAAAGGGACTATGTCTTGATAAAAGCTAGGATTTCAACTTTGGTCTTTCAGTATTATTTTGAATTGATAAATCAGGTTTGAGTCTTACAAATTTGGTGCTTAACCTTTATAAACCTGAGTAATCTTTGTTTGGTACTAATCTTAAAAATCATATACTTCATAGGTAAGTTAGATTTTGTTTTATAAAATTGGTTCCTAACATTCTTTATAATATATATATATTTAATATATTTTATTGATTTTTTTACAGAGAGGAAGGGAGTGAGATAGAGAGTTAGAAACATCGATGAGAGAGAAACATCGATCAGCTGCCTCCTGCACACTCCCCACTGGGCATGTGCGCGCAACCAAGGCACATGCCCTTGGCCGGAATTGAACCCGGGACCCTTGAGTCCGCAGGCCGACGCTCTATCCACTTAGCCACACCGGTTAGGGCTTTAATATATTTTTATTGACTTCAGAGAGGAAGAAAAAGGGAGAGAGAGAATCATGGATCAGCTGCCTCCCACAAGTCCCCCACTGGGGATCGAGCCCACAACCCAGGCATGTGCCCTTGACTGGAATTGAACCTGGGACCTTTCAGTTTGCAGGCTGATGCTCTATCCACTGAATCAAACCGGCTAGGGCTTCATAGTCTTAATTATTAGGCAAAACAATGAACTGGTATCAATTTATATACTCAGTTTTGCTTACTTTTTTCTTTTTGTTAATTACCCCCTGCCTTATTCCTTTTATTGTAGGCACTGTTATTTGTTTTGTCTATTTTTACTTTCCAGGTTTCTGTAAATCCTTATTATTTTTGTTACTGATTATATATATATATATATATATATATATATATATATATATATATATATAAAATGTCAAGTGCTATAAGCAAAAATAATTTCTATTAAGTTTAGCCTATCTCTCTATATAAAAGGCTAATATGCTAGGTGTTTGACCATTCAACTGGTAGCTATGATGCGCACTGACCACTGGGGGCAGATGCTCAATGCACAGGCATGGAAACATGGAACATAGTGATGAATCTCAGAAGGAAAGGTCTGGGGGGAGGACGGGAAGAGATTAATTCAAGATCTTATATGCATACTAGAGGCCCCTTGGCCTGGCCTGTGCCCTCTTGCAATCCGGGACCCCTCGGAAACCACTGGTGCACAAATCCATGTACTGGGCCTCTAGTTGTTATATAGTGTTGAATATTAAATAGTTTAGGAAGGAGATAAAAATGTAATACCCACTAGCCTTGGTTCCAAGTTATTTTGCATGTGATTTAGGTTTCTTTTGTCAGAAAAAGTGTTCACATTTGTTTCAGTGTTTATATTCTGTCATCATCCTCAACATAAAAAAGCAATTAAGAAATTGCTGAGGTGGATCCTGTTTATTTTTAGAAAAAATAAAATAAATTTATTTTTGGAAATAATATTTCCAAATATAATTATATTATATATATTATATTATATAATTATATATTTTTATATATATATTATATAATTATATATATATAATTATTATATATATTATATATATTATATATTATATTATATTAATATATATTAAATATATATTATATATTTATATATATATAAATATATATTATATATATTTATTATATATTATATATTATATATTATATATTATATATTATATATATTATATAATTATATATATTATATAATTATATATAATAATATATTATATTATATAATTATATATAATTATATATTATATAATTATATATAATTATATTATATTAATTATAATAATCCAAAAATAATTATATTTTTGGAAATTTTATTTTTCTAATTTAATTTTTGGAAATTTTTATCATTACGATATAGGGCTTCCTCTGTTCAAAACAGACTTTCTGATTCCTCCCTCCAATTATAAACAAAATAAAGCTTATTTTAAACAATTCAGAAAATACAGAAAAATGTAATTAAGGATGTAGAAATTATTCCTAAACCCACCAACCAGAGAATACTTGTTGTCATTCCAGCCTTTCAATATTTTTTCTATGCATACTAATTTTTTCTATTAATATAGAACATATGATATGCTATAGAAATTAAAAAAACAAACAAACATGGGGTCCTAAAATACCTCAGAATAAAAATTTAGATAAAATTGATTGTTAGGGGAAAGCAGTAGGTAAATTTAAGTCTGTTAGTTTTTAACTAAAACACTGGCAAAGCTTTTCTTTTTTAAATAATTTTATATCTTTTTTATCCACAAAACAGTAGTACCCACTGACTGTAATATAGATTCAGAAGAGTCAGAAGCTGTCATGGCTTTTCTTCTCATGTGGTCTTCACGTGTAACCATTGATATTTCTCTTTTGTTTCTAGGCTTAACATACTAACTTACTTATACCTTCTTTATGTGTTAGTCCAGTAATCCATTGAGAGTATTCTCATCTTTAGCTGATTTTTAGTAATAATAAGAATGATTAATTCCTTCATTTAATATATACATTTATTGATTATTCACACGAAACTGAACTCAACCCCATAGATATTTATAAAGAAAAAGACCCACTTTCTCACAGGTTGGTGTCTCTCATTAGTTGAAGTCTATGAATGCTAGCCTTGCTTCATTTAGCATTATTGTTTTTAGTATGGGAGAGAAATTTTTGTTGAGTTGTCTTTTTGTTCGTAATTCTAATGATTTTATTTTTGTTTTTAAGAGTTTGTTGGCCTCCATTTGACCAAAAAAGTGATACTGAATTCCGGAAACTTTGCTGTGAATGGTTAAAAAAAATTTCTGTAAGTATTCTCTTTCTGGAAAATGAAAACTTTAAGAGGTTAAAAAATAGATTAGTTTTTTTTTCTGGCTTTCGTGAGGTATAATTGTATCTTTTTTAGAGGTGAAAAAAATATATTGTGTTTTCTTTTTTTAAAAATTGATTTCAGAGAGAGGAAGGGAGAGGGAGATAGAGATAGAAATTTCAATGATGAAAAAAAAAATCAATTGGCTGCCTCCAATTGGGATGGAGCTGGCAACCTAGGCATGTGCCCTGACTGGGAATCCAAACATGACCTCCTGGTTCATGGGTCGATGCTCAACCACTGAGCTACATCAGCAGGGCCTAGAGGTGAAATATTTTTAATGCTGTTATGCTAACAGTATAAGCAAGATTAATTACAATAATACTTTTTATGGTTTTTGAATGGGATTTCTGTATATTTCTAAAAAACCAGTTTTGCTGGCTAGGTGCATTGGAAATAGGTTTTTGATTCCTTGGAGTCAGTTTTTATTTAAAGAAAACCTTTTTGATTATAGATTATTTTAACTTGTGTCCCCAAATAGTGTCAATAATTTTAGGGTTTTATATTGTAATTACCTTTTTGTGACAAGTCCACCAAAATTTTAGAATGATTCCAATATTAAACTTTGGATTCAAATGGAATAATCCTCATCAATCCTATTATGCTTCAAAAGTTTGATGTGAATATAAAGGTTATTGTTGATAAGTACTTCAAATTATTTATTTTTTCCTAGATGGAATGTGGAAATAACTTTCCTCAAGTTGTTGCTTCACTATTTCTTTCTCCTGGTGGTCCTAAGTTTATTCACCTGATGTATCATTTCGCAAGATTTGTTGCAATAAAATATATAAAAACACATTCCAAAAGTAAGTTAAACTTATAGTAGGAATTCTTTTTGTTTTGTTTCTTAAGTATTTATTCTTTGCAGTTTGCAAATCATCAATGATAAGATAAAAATATTAAGTAACCTCAGAAGGCTAATGGTTAGTGTTCTATTAGAATTATAGTTTGAAATAATGGATATAAGTAATAATTCAAATTATTTTAGTATGTTCTAATACAGAGGTTGGGAAACATTTTCTATATAAGGCCAGATAGTAAATATTTTTGACTTTGTGGACCATACAGGGTCTCTGTCATATATACCTCTCTGTGTTTTATTTTTTAATTTTAATTTAATTTAAAAAATAGTTTTATTGATTTCAGAGAGGAAGGGAGAGGGAGACAGATAGAAACATAGGTGATGAGAGAGAATCATTGATTGGCTGCCTTTTGCACGCCCCACACTGGCGATCTAGCCTGCAACCTGGACATGTGCCCCGACCGGGAATTGAGCTGTGACCTTCTGGTTCATAGGTCAGCGCTTAGTCACTGATCCACCGGGCCTACTTTTTAAAAAATTTTAATACAACCCTTTAAAAATGTGGAAAGTATCCCTTGCTTGTTGCTGACCTCAGAAAAACAGCCAGTGGACCACATAAGACCTGCAAATTATAGCTTGCCTCTAATACACTGTATTAAATGTTGTGTTGAATGTGTGGGAGATTTATTTTGGCTACTGGTAATGTGTGGGAATTTTTTGTTACAAGTTGCAGTTTTAAAAGGATTTGATCTATTTGTAAATTCATAGAAACAAAATACATATTGGATTTTTAATCTGAGACTTAGAATGCTACTTGTAGCGTATTAAATATACTGTTTATTTGGTTTATGCTAATAAAACATGGACAGGAAAATATAGAAAAGTTTATTCAGTAAACCGTACCCATCTTCCAATTTCTAGAATGTCATCCATTGCTGACATTTTGGTTTATTTTCTTTTAGTTTTTTATTTTTATTTTTAGTATACATACATATTTCTGGGTTTTAATTATTTTGAATAGGTAATATTTGTGTATGTGGTATGCCAGCTTTTAAGGAGTTGTTATATGAGGCTGTTAATCTCTTTAAAAATAAAAAGTAAATAATAATTAATAAAAGCCAGCAGTTTTAATATTTATTAGCTTAGAAGTCTAAGTTTTCTATGATCTTGTGTTCCATATAGATTCATTCAAGCATGTTGCAGAGACATTTAATTTAAAGCCACAAGATTTGCACATGTGCATTGCCAGGTCCCATGTAGCACGTAACAGATTTTTACAGATTTTACAAAGACAAGATTTTGTTTTCCAGAAGTATCAAGAAAATGCACAGTAAGTAATACTTTGATAGTTAGAAATGGAAAATTCTTTTCTTTTTGTATAAATGTCATTAGTATGCCTTCAGTGGTAGTAATCCATGTTTACTTCAAAACTGTGCTGTTATCTTTCCATTTTAAAGCCAGATAACTTCTGAATAAAATGTTTTGAACTTTAGGTAAACTGTAAATGAAAATTTAGAGAAAAGGAAAAGGTCACTTTAGTTTAAAATTTTAATTTCTTAGGAGTTTTTTCTTTTAACTTGGAGATATGTTTTTAAGATGTATACTGTTCATTCTATTTTGTATCCTTTTTTATCTTAATATTTCATTCTGTAAATTTTTCCATATTTTCATAGTTATTACTTTTAGTGACCATTTAATAGTTTGCTGAGTATCTATTAAGTAGATATTCCTTTTTTTTAAAAAATATATTTTATTGATTTTTTACAGAGAGGAAGGGAGAGAGAGATAGAGAGTTAGAAACATCGATGGGAGAGAAACATCGATCAGCCGCCTCCTGCAGACCTCCCACTGGGGATGTGCCCGCAACCCAGGTACATGCCCTTGACCGGAATCGAACCCAGGACCCTTCAGTCCGCAGGCCGACGCTCTATCCACTGAGCCAAACCGGTTTCGGCAAAGTAGATATTCCTTTAAGTAGGTATTCCATAGTTTCTTTAACCATTTTATGCTATTTTATGTTTAGGGTCATCTCTTCAGCAGATTTGTTTTTAGGTTACAGTGTTAAACAAGATAGGCAAGGTTCTTAGTCTCAAAATAGTTTGAGACTAATTTTTACAATTATTAACTTCAGTAAGATACTTTTTTTCTTCTTCTGATAAGATACCTTTTTAAATGCTATGTTATTTAGCATTTAAATAACATTTTTGTAGCTTTAGCCCCATTAAAGCTACAAAATTATTTTTTTAAAATACATTTTTATTGACTTTCAGAGAGTAAGGGAAAGGGGGAGAGAGAGAGAAACATCAATCATGAGAGAATCATTGATTGGCTGCCTCCTGCACACCTCCTACTGGGGATCGAGCCTGCAACCTGGGCGTGTGCCCTTGACCGGAATCAAATCTGGGACCCTTCAATCCGCAGGCAGACGCTCTCCACTGAGCCAAATCAGTATACAAAATCTTTTGATACTGTCTTAAAGATGCAATATTGCTTGACTGTCTTAGATAACATTAAAATTTATCCCCTAGGAATGTGAGACAAGGATAAGAGGGCAGAGTAATTTTATTGACCTCCAACATTTTTACCTGAAGTCAGAGAGTACAGGAGTCAAAAAGTCCTTGGTCCATCTCAATATCAGCCTGTATGTTAAATCCTGGGACTCTAGAAGGGAGTGTAGAGTCCTTTAGCTGGCTGCTGGGTGTATTTGGAAGAGTAGTCCTCAGAAGCCTTGAGCAAAGATATGGAAGGTGGAAAATAGTAAAGTATCTATACTGTTTAATTGTAATGGAATTATAGATGGACCCTGACTTACAGTGGTTAGACTTAAGATATATTGACTTTATGATGGTGTGAAAGTGATATGCATTCACTAGAAACTGTACTTCGAATTTTGAATTTTGATTATTCCTGGGCTGATGGTATGTGGTATGATACTCTGTTGCGAGGGCAGTGGCAGTGAGCCACGGTTCTTACACAGGCACACGATCACAGGGTAAATAACTGATACTCTGCACTTAACTCTGTTGCCAGTGTTTTTTGGATATTGTGTTTTAAGTTTTCACATCCCATCATGTCAACAAAATGCCCATTTGTGCCTCTTGTTTCTGGTAAGCAGAAGGGCAAGGCAATTACTCTTAAGATAAAACTCGAGAGAATTGCTCAAGTGTAGGCTAAAGTAAGTGTTCTGAGCACATTTAAGGTAGACTATGCTAAGCTATAGTGTTCAGTAGGTTAGGTGTATGAAATACATTTTCGACTTACGATATTTTCAACTTGTGATGGGCTTATCGGGATGTAACCCCATCATAAGTTGAGACGCATATGTAGAGTTGTCATTTTATACGTTTTCTTACAGATTATTAGATGAAGAAGTACGAAATTTGAGATCAGAATATATAGGACTGCAAAACCAAATGAAAAAGTAAGTGACTTGTAGAGCTGGAAGTAGCTTTATATATTAGTTTAGCTATTGCATTTTACAGGTGAGAAACTGAGAGTCTCAGAAACATAAATAATAGCGATAGTTAGATGATGATAGGTATAGACTATAATTCTGATTCCTAGTCCAGTTCTTCTAATAAGTTATTGCTTTGAGCTAGAATTTTATTTTTGCTTTAAATGGAATGGTTGTTAGTGGGTGGTTTTGCTGATCAGTTAGCTCTTTGGATGGTAAATTAACGTGATTTTTTTTTTTTAATCTTCATCTGAGGATATTTTTCCATTGATTTTTAGAGAGAGTGGAAGAGAAGGGGAGAGAGAGACAGAGAAAGAAAAATCGATATGAGAGAGATATATCAATTGGTTGCCTCCCGCATGTACCCTGACGAGGGCTGGAGACAGCCTGCAACTGAAGTATGTGCCCTTGACTGGTATCGAACCCAGGACCTGTTAATCTGCAGGCTGATGCTCTATCCACTCAGCCAAACCAGCTAGGGCTACCATGTGATTTTTAAAATGACTAATGGGCCTGGAGATTGTTATGCCGAGTGAAATAAGCCAGTCAGAGAGACAAATACCGTATGATCTGACTTATATGTGGAATTTACTGAACAAAATAGAAACAGAAGCATGGATACTGGAACAGACTGACAGCTGTCAGGGAAGCGGGGAGGGGAGGACAGGATGAAAGAAGCCAAAGAACATATGTGCATAACCCATAGACACAGACAACAGTGTGATGATGACCAGAGGGAAGGGGAAGCGGGGGAGAAATTACGGGGGAAATGGGGACATCTGTAATAGTGTCAACAATAAAAATAAAGTTTAAAAATATGACTAATGAGATTAATTTTTAACTAGCATGGAACCTTATGATGACCAAAGTGATATACAAGAAAAAATTCAAAAGGTGAGACAGCTTTTGAAGAGAGAAATGTAATCTTTCTTACTTTTGTGATAGTATTTTTTTGTGATAGTATTTATTCTTATTATAAGTGTTATAAATGTAAAGGTATCAACAAGGGGGCGTCTAAAAGGTTTGAATATGATGGGAAAAAAACAGCTTATAATTTATAAGACTAAATATATACAGAAGCAGCTTTAAATATGGTTAAAGTCATGCCAGCAAAAAAAGTTTGGTTTGATTGTAACTTAATCAGTAGTATTTATCAAAATAAAATATATTAACTGAAAGGAGATGTTAAGTATGGAAGAAAAATGAGAAGCAAAATTGAAGCTGGTTGGTAATAGAGACTAATCTGGCAGACATAAATGGTCTAAGGCTTTAGAGCAAGCATGTCAAGCTCATGGCCCGCGGGTTGCATGCGGCCCACAACTTCGGCCCACAATGAATATTTTTGCGGTCCAGCCAATATAACGGTATGTAAGAAACATTTTAATAAAAATTTTGTAACTTAATTCTTACAATATCCTGTTATACATAATTATTAACAAATTACAATGTTTGCTGATGACTGATTACTATAATCATGTTGCATTCCTTTCCCTTATGCGCCTTACATTCTGGCGCACCATTTCTCTCCACTAATACTAGCAGCAAATATTGTAGCAGCCGATTGCCTCGTCATTACTCTTAAAAAAAAAAAAATCTATATATCTATATATATATAGATATATAGATATATAGATATTTTTTTTTCTTCAAAAATATATTTTATTGATGTTTTTACAGAGAGGAAGGGAGAGAGATAGAGAGTTAGAAGCATTGATGAGAGAGAAACATTGATCAGCTGCCTCCTGCACACTCCCCACTGGGTATGTGCCCACAACCAAGGTACATGCCCTTGACCGGAATCGAACCTGGGACCCTTGAGTCCGCAGGCCGACGCTCTATCCCAGCCATGGGCAAACTACGGCCCACGGGCCGGATCTGGCCCGTTTGAAATGAATAAAACTAAAAAAAAAAAAAAGACCGTACCCTTTTTTGTAATGATGTTTACTTTGAATTTATATTAGTTCACACAAACACTCCATCCATGCTTTTGTTCTGGCCCTCCGGTCCAGTTTAAGAACCCATTGTGGCCCTCGAGTCAAAAAGTTTGCTCACCCCTGCATCCACTGAGCCAAACCGGTCAGGGCTTATCATTACTCTTGTACTGACTTGTTTGGTGTACGCAACAGGAAATATTTTGCTTTCGGAGAACAAGAAAAATAGGTTTATTTGCATTATGCTTATTAATTTGTGCAGTTGTTCAGTGTCTGGTAAGTTAATGCTCAAGAAAAAATATTAATTTTTATTAAAATGTTCTATTTTATGTTAACGATGACTCATTTATTTCAGCCCTTTGTATTCAGCATGTCTCTATTGAAATAAACCTACGTTTTTATGAAAATTGGAGCTTTTGTTTTTTTGTGGCCCACATAAACTTAAACCTTGTTTATTTGGCCCGTGTTAGCCTTTGAGTTTGACGTGCTTGCTTTAGAGGTTGACTTTGATGTGGGGTAGGAGTGTTTTCTTAGGCTTCTGTGTTCAGATGACATCTGTCTTCAAGATCGTTGTTCTGATTCTGTGGCCATCATGCTCCTTTGGGTATTAATTTGGCTGCTCAGGCACTTTGTCCCTGGAAAAGGTGAGTGCCATCCTTAGGAAATAATTGTTCATTCACTCAGTGAATAATTGGTCATCTGCCATTTGCCCGGGGTTCTTCTAGATATTACAGCTGCTATAGGAATGACAAAAACAGGCAAAGTCACTTTTCTCATGGAGCTTCCAGTTTAGTGCATGTGAATATTCTTATTATTGAACGCAGCATCTTTTTAAAAAATATACATATATATTTTTTATTGATTTCAGAGAGGAAGGGAGAGGGAGAGAAATAGAAACATCAATGATGAGAGAGAGTCATTGATTGGCTGCCTCCTACATGCCCCCTACTGGGGATCAAGCCAGCAACCTGGGCATGTGCCCTTAATTGGAATCAAACCCAGGACCCTTCAGTCCGTAGGTTGAGGCTTTATCCACTGCGTCAAACCAGCTGGGGCTTAACTGCAGTTTTTGATGCCTTTAAAGAAGCATGTTGCCCTAGCCGATTTGGCTCAGTGGATAGAGCATCTGCCTGTGGACTGAAGGGTCCCAGGTTCGATTTTGGTCAAGGGCACATGCTCGGTTTGCGGGTTTGATCCCCAGTGGGAAGCGTGCAGGAGGCAGCCGATCAATGATTCTCTCATTATTGATGTTTCTACTTGTCTTTCCCTCTCCCTTCCTCTCTGAAAATCAATAAAAATATATTTTTAAAAAAGCATGGTTTTTCAAACCTTTTAACTTTTTGAAACTTGAATGACTTATGATTACTGTGTAGTATTCTTGTTTTTGTTTTCTCATGAAAATATTTTATTATTTCTTCCTGAAAAATCTTCCTTAGATTGCTAGCATGTCAGAATACAGGAAATACTACTCGCATCTTGGTAGTATAAGGCTTCTTAGATTTGTTTTGAAAATCATAGTGGGCTAGATTCTACTGAGAAATTTTTTAGTTTTAAAGCCCTGCTGGAGATAATTGTTATTATTAAACTTTATTAGTTTGCCAAAATACTTGAATTTACCTCAAGAAAAGATACCAGCTACATGCTGTATTGCATGCATGTTGGGATTTTAGGATTATAGTAATTACAAGTAAACCATTAAAACAGCTTCAGAGATAGAGTGTTTATTGACAACCCATTGAGAATGTTAAAAAGAATAAATAGAAGAAACTAATTTAATTAGGGGATCAGAATTTTAAATTATTTTATTAATTTTACTTTGTTGAATTTTTTGGGCATTTTGCCTGAAATATGTCCATGTTGAATTCCCTCTTTCTCTTCTTTGAGATGCTTGGTGATAATGGTTAGTAAACATTTTCTGGTTTACAATTTACAAGCGCCTTCAACGTCTAGTTCTTGAAAAAGGATGACAATTTAAGGGTCAGCATAAAAAAATACAACTCCAAGATATCTATATATATATTCATTACAAAATGCTATCTTTTCTAAAAGCTGTGTGCACATAACTTATTAAAGTTCAATAAGTATTTTCCTATGTAAAAGCAAAAAATCCCCATTGGAAATACTACCAGTGATTTTAGACTATTAAAAATACAGTTTAAAAAAAAAAAAAGTAAAATATAGTTAGCTAATTTCCTCACCAGAAGCCATTCCAGGAATACTTCATTTGTTCTTGGGAGTGAATGTATAGTTGTGTTTTACATTTCTTTCATGTACGTTTTGTTTGTTTTCAAAGGTTCGGTCTTTGTGGGCTTCAGTGAATGAAACTCTCTTGTTTTTGGAAGAAGAGAGAGAAATTGTTAGTTCAGTCCTCAGTCTCGCTGACCAGTATACTTTAGATGGAACTAACGTTGCTATTGATGTTCCAAGGCTCTTACTTGACAAAATTGAGAAACAAATGTGTCAGGTAAGCATTTGATATTAAAGAAGCTTTTGAGATGACTCCCTTCATGCAGTTATTTTATATATTACATGTTTTCCAAATTTATTTTTGAGTATATCTAGTAAAACTTTTATACACAAGGGTTCTGATAAAGCTGTGTATCTTTTTATTGATTATTTTTTATTTTTTTTATTTTTTTGTTAATCCTCACCTGAGGATATTTTTCCATCGATTTTTTAGAGAGTGGAAGAAAGGGGGAGAGACAGAGAGAAACATTGATGTGAGAGAGACACATCGATTGGTTGCTTCCCGCCTGCACTCTGACCAGGGCCAAGGATTGAGCCTGTAACCTAAGTATGTGCTCTTGACCTGAATTGAACCTGGGACCCTTCAGTCCACAGGCCAATACTCTGTCCACTGAGCCAAACCAGTTAGGGCAAGGCTGTGTGTCTTTATATCCATCTACTTTTATTAATTGTCCATACCTTGTATGGTGTTACATCATATATAGTGTAGAGAGTAGGAAGTTATTTAGGAAGATGATATGGTACTTTTAGTTCTTCATAAATTCTCTAATAGAACAACAATGATCTCCTGATTGCTAAATTAAAAAGGCTTTATCTTAAAAGTCTTCTTAAAAAGGCTGTATCCTCTCTGCTTTCTCTTTCATCTTGATGCTATTAATATTTCAGAGTGTTTTCTTCCTTTAGTTTTTGTGACTTCAATTTCTCTGCTCTCCTCTGGTTTTTCAGTTTGCTGTTCTCAGTATTTTCACTGATTCCTTTTTCTCTGCTTGACTTTTACATGAAAGTGCTCCCATGGTTCCTTTAATGTCCTCCTTTCTTTCCCACATTATAAATTCATGTGTATTTTCTTAATCAATTCTATGGCTTTATCAGCTTCCTATATATTAATATTCTCAAATTGGTATCTCCCGCCTCTCTCCTTTAACCTAGGTTACATCAAATTATTTCCACTTGCTCTCTGGCTGAGTGGCTCGGTTGGAGCATAGTCCATCCCGTACACCAAAAGGTGGCAGATTCAGTTTATGGTCAGGCTGCATATCTAGGTTGTGGGTTTGATCCCTGGTGGGTGGGTACAGGAGGCAACCAATTGATGTTTCCCCCCTTCCCCTCTCTCTCAAATCAATGAACATAATCCTTGGGTGAGGATTTTAAAAAGTTAAAAGAAATTATTTCCACTTGCTTATGGGATGCTTCCATCTACTTTAAAAAAAATTAAACTTACAATTTATTAAGAATTTACTATATGCCAGTTATTGATTATAGTACAGGGGATACAAAGATAAAATATTGTGACCCTGAAGAGCTTTCATAGGTAACATGACAGGCACTTCACATTCAGAGCACATAAAAATGAGGATCTGAGAGTTCTAGAGGGACTAGGCAGGTAATGTGTATAAATGAAGTACACTAATTGTGTGTAATAGAATAAAGTGGGAAGTGATGAGGTCTTACACTAGTTGTGTGTAATAGAATAAAGTGGGAAGTGATGAGGTCTTTGGAGAAGTAATTTTTAAAAATCTTGTTAAATATATTTTTTATTGTTGATAGTATTACAGTATTTCCCCCCACCCCACCCCTTAACTTCCTCCTCCCAGCCGGTACCCCCCCTGCAGGTCTTCACTACCCTATTGCCCATGTCCATGGGCTATGTATATAAGTTCTTTGGTTTATCTCTTCTCATCCCCCCAATCCTACATTGAGAATGTCAGTCTGTTCTATGCCTCCATGCTTTTGGTAGAGAAATAGTAATTTTTATGTGAAATCTATGATTAAAAATATTGGCAACTAATTAAAATGATTTTGTTGTTGTTGTTAATCCCCCCCAAGGATATTTTTCCATTGATTTTTAGGGAGAGTGGAAAAGAGAGGGAATGACAGAGAGAAACATGGATGTGAGAGAAACACATCAGTTGGTTGCCTCTTACACAAGCCCTGAGCACAGCCAGGGAGGAAGGAGTCTGCAACCAAGGTACATGCCCTTGACTGAAATCAAACCTGGGAACCTTTGATCCGCAGGCCAACGCTCTATCCACTGAGCCAGACAGGCTAGGGCCAAATGATTTTAAAACACTGGAACTATGCAGGTAAAAAATCATGTCTAAGTTTGGATTTAGTCTATAGGTACCATCAATTTGCAGCTTTTGTTAAAATATGATTTATTATACATGGATTTGGATTTATGGCAGGCCCATCCCCTTGGGTCTTTCATAGTGCCCCATGCCAGAGCAAACTGTGGCCTTGAACCATTGCCTGGCCTCAGCCGATAGGCTGCAGGAACAAAACAAGACATGAATTCATAATCTTTCTCCAAATCTGCTCTTTTTTCCTTAATCTTTACTTTGCTTTCATTTATTTGCATTTCTTTCATTCTGGTTTTCAACTTTTTACATTGCAGAACTGTAGTATGGCATGTTAATTGTTCCACAACAGTTTTCTTTGGACCAAAATTATTTACATAGTGTTATTTTGGGGTAGACATTTAACTTTTTTTTTTTTTATTCTTTAAGGTAACCTTTTATTATAATAGTAAAACATATAAGTATGTTTATATAGTAGTTTATTATGTTAAGAACTTATAGTTTACTACTTTTTTCCCCCTTTGAACCCTTAGTTGCACATAGGAAATGTTTATGAGGCTGGGAAATTGAACCTGTTGACAGTTATTCAGTTATTAAATGAAGTCTTGAAAATAATGAAATATGAATGTTGTCAGGCTGACCAAGCAAAACTGACAATAGACCTTCGCTTCCTTGAAAAAGAGGCCAAATTACAGAGAGAAAGATTATTGGATCTGCAGCATATGAGGTACACTAGTAAGATTCTCTGTTATTTTATTGGGCGAGGAGTAGAATGGTTTTAATAAATTCTCAGCACAACTCATGTAGTTTAACAACTCTTTAGCTTTGGCAAACAAGTGTGAACATTTTACTAGTACTCAAAAACCTGTCATTAGCTTTCAGAGAGACACACGAAGTAGAAAGGAAAATTAATGTAATTTTCTTTATGTCTGGAATATATTATTTGCTGTGAGTGATAATTCTTTATGAAATAATTTTAACTTTTCTATTGCTTTTCTTTTGTGGGATCTACTAATAAAACTAGGGCTCAGACCCTAGCTGGTTTGGCCCAGTGGATAGGCCTGCGGACTGTAGGGTCCCAGGTTCGATTCCAGTCTAGGGCACATGCCCAGGTTGCTGGCTTGATCCCCAGTAAGGTGTGTGTAGGAGGCAGCCAGTCGGTGATTCTCTCTCATCATTGATGTTTCTAGCTCTCTGTCTCCCTTTCTGAAATCAATTAAAAAAAAAAAAGGATCTAGAGAAATTAAAAAACAAAACTAGGGCTCAGAAAAGTTTTTTATTTGAGCAGAGTGACTGAGAGGTATGGGCTGTCTTTAGGCATGGACAGACAGATAAAGGGAGTAGAATTTTGATTCGAGTTCAGAACCAGGAAATAAATTATATTTTATTTTTTTATTGATATGTTTTTTGCCTGGCCATTGTGGCTCAGTGGTTGAGTGCCGACCTATGAACCAGGAGGTCACCTTTCAATTCCCAGTCAGGGCACATGCCCAGATTGCAGGGTCAATCCCCAGTAGGGGGTGTGTAGGAGACAGCTGATCAATGATTCTCTCTCTTCATTGATGTTTCTCTCTCCTCTCTTTCTCTCTCTCTGAAATGAAGGGAGAAGGAGAGGGAGAGAGAGAGAGAAACATGAGTGTGAGAGAGAAACATCGATCAGTTGCCTTCTGTACACACCCAGACTGGGGATTGATCCCACAACCCCTGCATGTGTCCTGACCTGGAATGGAACCAGTGACCTTTTGGTGCATGGGACTATGCTCAACCAACTGAGCCACACCACCCAAGGCTGAAAAAAATTCTATTTTAAAGATAAATGGAGTAATAGGTGTATTATTGCTTTCTTTTTTATTTTTTTTTATTTTATTTTTTAAAATCTTTATTTTTGAAATAAAAGAGGACCTATTACATAGGTCCTCTTCCCCGCCCTCCCCCCCCCCCCCCCATAACTTCTTTCAGCCTGCTCCTGCCCTCCTCCCATCCCAGGCCCTCAGCACCCTATTGTTTGTGTCCATATTTATTTTTAGATAGAGAGGAAGGGAGAGGAAGAGAGAGATAGAAACATTGATGAGAGAAACACATCGATCGGCTGCCCCTAACAGTTACTCAGTTATTTAATGGAGTCTTGAATGGATCCTACAACCCAGGCATGTGCCCTGACTGGAAATCGAACTCAAAACCTCTTCGTCCATGGGATGATGCTCTATCCACTGAGCCACTCCAGTTGGGCTATTATTGTTTTCTAGTCTTAAAAGGAATAAAGGTATTTTAGGTTCTGAGAGTTTATTGTGAGAGTTTATTCAACTTATATGTGCTGTACTGACTTTATTTCTTTCCTTTTTCTACAAACTTCTTAAATTTTACTCAATACTTTTATTATATATTTGTGTTTTGAATAATTATTTTTGTGCTATTATAGGCATAAATTAGAAGAAGATCTTACAACTATAACACATTCTATTGTTGAAAAACAAGAAAAATGGCATAAAAAGTGGAAAGAATTTCTTGGTTTGTCTCCTTTTAATCTAATAAAAGGTTGGACTCCAGTAAGTAATATTGACTTGCCTTTTGCCTTTTTCAGTTTTTGTTTGTTTTCTTTATTGATTAAGGTATTACATATGTGTCCTATCCCCTCATTGCCCCTCCACCCAACCCACTCATGCCCTCACCCCCCTGGTGTCTGTGTCCATTGGTTAGGCTTATATGCATGCATACAAGTCCTTTGGTTGATCTCTCCCCCTTACCCCCACCCTCCCCTAACTTCTATCTGAGGCTTGATGGTCTGATAGATGCTTCTCTGTCTCTGGATCTGTTTTTGTTCATCAGTTTATATTGTTCATTATATTCCACAAATGAGTGAGATCATGTGATATTTATCTTTCTCTGGCTGGCTTATTTTGCTTAGCATAATGTTATCCATTTCCATCCATGCTGTTGTAAATGGTAAGAATTCCTTATTTTTTACAGCGGCGTAGTACTCCATTGTATAGATGTACCACAGTTTTCTAATCCACTCATCTGCTGATGGGCACTTAGGCTGTTTCCAGATCTTAGCTATGGTGAATTGTGCTGCTATGAACATAGGGGTACATATATCCTTTCTGATTGGTGTTTCTAGTTTCTTGGGATATATTCCTAGAAGTGGGATCACTGGGTCAAATGGGAGTTCCATTTTTAGTTTTTTGAGAAAACTCCATACTGTTCTCCACAGTGGCTGCACCAGTCTGCATTCCCACCAGCAGTGCACGAGGGTTCCTTTTTCTCTGCATCCTTGCCAGCACTTGTCATTTGTTGACGATAGCCATTCTGACAGGTGTGAGGTGGTACCGCATTGTTGTTTTGATTTGCATCTCTCGGATGGTTAGTGACTTTGAGCATGTTTTCATATGTCTCTTGGCCTTCCTTATGTCCTCTTTCGAAAAGTATCTAAATCCGTTGCCCATTTTTTGATTGGGTTATTTATCTTCCTTTTGTTAAATTGTATGAGTTCCCTGTAAATGTTGGAGATTAAACCCTTATTGGTGATAACATTGGCAAATATGTTCTCCCCTGCAGTGGGCTTTCTTGTTGTTTTGTTGATGATTTCTTTTGCTGTGTTTTGTTTTGTTTTTAATTTTTCTGTTATAGTTGGCATACAGTATATTAGTTTCAGGTGTACACATAGTGTTTATATATTTATATGACCTATGAGGTGATCACTTTGATAAATCTCGTACCTATCTGACACTGCACATAGTTATTATATTATTGACTGTATTCTTTATGCTATCTTTTATATCCCCATGACTATTTTGTAACTACCAATTTGTAATTCTTAATTTCTTCCCCTTTTTCACCCATCCCTCCAACCCCCACTCCCATCTGGTTACCATCAAACTGTTCTCTATATCTATGAGTTTGTTTCTGTTTTGGTTGTTCATTTGGTTTTTCAGATACCACATATAAGTGAAATCATATGGCATTTATCTTTTCCTATCTGACTTCACTTAGCACAGTACCCTTTAGGTCCATCCATGTTGTTACAGATGTCAAGATTTCATTCTTTTTTATGGCTGTGTCATATATGCACTATTTTTTTAAATTGATTTCAGAGAGGAAGGGAGAGGGAGAGAGAGATAGAAACATCAATGATGAGAATCATTGATCAGGATCATCCTGTACGCCCCCTATTGGGGATTGAGCCCACAACCGGGGCATGTGCCCTTGACCAGAATCGAACCTGGGACCTTTCAGTCTGCAGGCTGACGCTCTGTCCACTAAGCCAAACTGGCTAGGGCTGCACTACTTTCCATTCACCTATTGATGGACACTTAGGTTGCTTCCATATCTTGGCTATTGTAAGTAATGCTGCAGTGAACATATGGATACATATGTCTTTTTGAATTAGTGTTTCGGACTTCTTCGGACAAATACCCAGATGTGTCTTGTTATAGACTTTCTTTTATTTTTTATTTATTTTTAAAATATATTTTTATTGATTTCAGAGAGGAAGGAAGAGGGAGAGAGAGATAGAAACATCAAGGATGAGAGAGTCATTGATTGGCTGCCTCCTGCACGCCCCCTACTGGGGATCAAGCCCGCAGCCTGGGCATGTGCCCTTGAGCAGAATCAAATCTGGGACCCTTTAGTCCACAGGTCGACACTCTATCCACTGTTCCAAACCGGCTAGGGCTATAGCCTTTGTTTTAAAGTCTATTTTGTCTTGTATAAGTATTGATACCTCAGCTGTTTTGTTTTTGTTTTTATTTTCATGAAGTATCTTTTCCATCCCTTTACTTTCAGTCTGTGTCTTTTTATCTGAAGTGAGTCTCTTGTAGGCAGCATAGGTAAGGGTCTTTTTTTTCTTATCCATTCAACTGCCCTATGTCTTTTGATTGGAGTATTTAACCCATTTACGTTAAAGTAATTATTGATAGATATGTAGTTATTGTCATTTTATTTTTCATAGTCTTTTTTTTTCCTTTAAAAAAATCCCTTAAACATTTCTTGTAATACTGGTTTGGTGGTGATGAACTCCTTTAGCCTTTTCTTGTCTGGGATTGACTTGCCTTTTGGAGAGTAGTTTAATATAAGGCAATCTCTTGATTTATCATGTTACAGAATGACTTAGAAATGCTGTGTGTGTTTATGTTTGTCATTTTGCATTTGATCCTAAAGATCAAATGTTTGGTTTCTGTAATTCTTCTAAATACGTATTAGAGTATTAATAAAGTGGCTGTTGTGATTTATAGTTACTATTTTTAGAATCAGAGAATTGTATTAAAAAATGAGATGTTCCTCTTGATGTTAGAAGTACTATTACATTTGCGATATAGATGAAGGCAAAGTAGTCTCCTTGTTCCTAATATAGTACTCCTTGTTTTACTTTTTATTTTTTTAGTATTCCTTGTTTTAAAAATAATTATAGAATAATTTATATGCATAGTAATTCTGTCTTTGTTGGAATCAACCAGTCATAGATTAACTTAATATTGTTGTGTGGTAGTGAGTAAAATGTGTATATTTCAAATTACGAATTCTCTGTTTTAAGGCTGTGGATCTTTTACCACCCATGTCTCCTCTTTCATTTGATCCTGCCTCAGAAGAAGTATATGCAAGAAGTATTCTTTTGCAGTATCCTGCTTCGCTTCCAGGTTGGTTATTTTTTCTCTTTTAAATTTCCCTCTCAATATTTCTCACTATGATAACTGTTCCTTTACATTCTTTCCCCCCAGTTATTTTTCATTTTGATGAAATGCACAGTATTTCACTATTGTAGTGTGTATCTCAGTGGCATATTATAAATTCACAAAGTTGTGCCATCACCACTATCTAGTTCCAGAGTAGTTTTATTACTTGAAAAGGAAATCTTTTATCTATGAAAAGTCACTTTCCATTTCCACCTCCCCCAGTTCCTAACAACCACTAATGTACTTCATGTCTCTATGCATTTGTCTATTCTGGAAATATTGTATAAGTAGAGTCTGGCTTTTCTCATTTGTATAGTTTTCCACTTTGCACAGTGTTTTTAAGTTGTAGCATGTATCAGTACTTCATTACTTTTTTTTTTTAATCTTCACCCGAGGATATTTTTTTTATTGATTTTTAGAGAGAGTGGAAGAGAGAGGGAGAGACAGAGAGAAACACTGATGTGAGAGAGACACATCAATTAGTTGTTTTCTGCATGCTCCCGATCAGGGCTAGGAGCCTGCAACTAAGGTACATGCTCTTAACTGGAATCTTACAAAGATCTTTCAGTCCACAGGCCGATGCTCTATCCACTGAGGCAAACCGACTAGGGCAGTGGTCGGCAAACTCATTAGTCAACAGAGCCAAATATCAACAGTGCAACGATTGAAATTTCTTTTGAGAGCCAAATTTTTTAAACTTAAACTATATAGGTAGGTACATTATTATTTACTTAATTAGGGTACTCCTAAGCTGGCCTTTGCTAAAAACGTCCTCAATCTGATTGAGGTACGTTCGCTGAGGTCGACCCCTTCCAATTCTCCCATCCACACTCGTCTTGTATACCTGTTTCGTCTATCTCCTTTCGTTCATCCTCTATATGTCCAAACCATCTCAACATACCTTTCTCAATCCTCGACACTACATCTTCTTTCACTCCACAACTTTACTTAAAAGTTTTAAGTCAACTTCGCACTGTACGAGCGCACCCGCACATGGTATTTTGTGGAAGAGTCATACTCAAGGGGCCAAAGAGCCTCATGTGGCTCGCGAGCCGCGGTTTGCCGACCGACCACTGGACAAGGGGATACTTAATTATTTTTTATGAATATATTCTATTGTATGATTAAGCCATATTTTGCTTTATTTGTCTGTTGATGGAAATTTGGATTGTTCCACCATTTAGCTATCCTATATAATAAAGGCTAATATGCAAATTGACTGAATGGTGGAACGACTGGTCGCTATGATGTACACTGACCACCAGGGGGCAGATGCTCAATGCAGGAGCTGCCCCCTAGTGGTCAGTGTGCTCCCACAGGGGGAGTGCCACTGAGCCAGAAGCAGGGCTCATCGCTGGCAGCGCTAAGGATGTCCGACCGCCGGCTTAGGCCTGCTCCCCACAGCCGTCAGTCAGACATCCCCTGAGGGCTCCAGGACTGCAAATTTTGTGCACTGGACCTTTAGTTATGAATAATATTGCTGTAAACATTCTTTTACAAGTTTTTGTGTGGAAACCCACAATTTTTTAACATGAAAGAATGGTATAGTGATTACCTCAATACTTACAATCTGTTTCAACAGTTAACATTTGTCATATTTGCTTTAAATGTATATATTTGGTTTTTGCTAAACCAAGTAAATTCTAGACATCGAAATACTGTCAGTGTTTCAGCTTGCTTTTCCATAGAGTGACATTCCTCTATATAACTACCATAATAATATCACACCTAAAAATGAACAATCCTATCTAATAAAAGAGAAACATGGTAATTAGCGTACGACCGCTACCCTTCCCATTGGCTAATCAGGGCAATATGCAAATTAACTTCCAGCCAAGATGGCGGCGGGCAGCCAGGCAGCTTAAAGCGAACATGAGGCTTGCTTGCTTCGGTGATGGAGGACTCCAGCGTTCCCCGCCTGCCGCTGCAGGCCTCTGAGCTGCAACTCTAAGCAACTATGTTGCAAATATAGAAGCTAAACAAAATCCCAGAAACATGCTTTAGTCGCTGGGCTTCAGCCAGCAGGATCGCAACATTGTTTTAAATACAGAAGGTAAACAAAGGCCAGAAACCTGCTTTCAGCAGCGGAGGCCTAAGAGCTGGAGCCAAACCTCAAAGCTAAAGCTGGCCCAGAATAAAAAAGAAAAAAAGAAAAAAAGGAGCAGTTGGGAGCTTCAGTCACCCGCCAGCCTGAAAACAGCCCTCAGCCCCTCACCCAGACTGGCCAGGCACCCCAGTGGGGACCCCCACCCTGAAGGGTGTATGACCAGCTGCAAACTGCCATCATCCCCTCACCCAGGCTGGCCAGGCACCCCAGTGGGGACCCCCACCCTGATCCAGGACACCCTTCAGGGCAAACCAGCTGGCCCCCACCCGTGCACCAGGCCTCTATCCTATATAGTAAAAGGGTAATATGCCTCCCAGCACCAGGATCAGCGGAGCCGCAAGGCCTCCCGGCACCGGGATCAGAGTGACAGGGGGCAGCGCCCAAACCCCCTGATCGCCCTGCAGCTCTGTGTGTGACAGGGGGCGGGGCCACAACCTCCCTATCTGCCCTGCTCTGTTCGTGACAGGGGAAGGCGCCCCAACCCCCTGATCAGCCCTGCTCTGTGCCTGATAGGGGGGAGCTCCCCAACCCCCTGATCGGCCCTGCTCTGTGGGTGATAGAGGGTGGCACCCCAACCCCCTGATCCGCCCTGCTCTGTGTGTGACAGGGGGTGGTGCCCCAACTCCCCTATCGGCCCTACTCTATGAGTGATGGGGGAGCTCCTCAACCCCTTGATGGGCCCTGCTCTGTGCGTGACAGGGGGCAGTGCCCCAACCCCCTGATTGGCCCTGCTCTGTGCGTGACAAGGTACGGAGCCCCAACCCCCCTGATGGGCCCTGCTCTGTGCGTGACAGGGGGCAGCGCCCCAATCCCCTAATTGGCCCTGCTCTGTGTGTGACGGGGGTGGCGCTGCAACCTCCCATCGACCCTGCCTTGAGTGTGACAGGTGGCGGTGCCCCAACCCCCCAATCGGCCCTACCCTGAGCGTGACTGAGGGTGGCATTGCAACCTCCCAATCCGCCCTGCTCTGTGCATGACAGGGGGCGGCGCCCCAACTCCCCAATTGGCCCTGCTCTGAGCCCGACTAGGGGCAGCACCTAGGGATTGGGCCTTCCCTCTGCCACCCGGGAGCAGGCCTAAGCCAGCAGGTCATTTTCTCCCGAGGGGTCCCAGACTGCGAGAGGGCACAGGCTGGGCTGAGGGACCCCTCTTCCCCCCGAGTGCACAAAAGTTTGTGCACTGGGCCTCTAGTCTATATATATAAAAGGCTAAGTGACCAACTGTATGTCCATCTGACTGACTGACCAGCTGGTACATATGACGTGAATTTCTTAATAGTATTACTCCTTTGGGAATGTCATGTTATAAATTAAAATTGAAAGAGAAATCTTAATAGTAAATGGGGCCTTTGTAATGGTACTAGATTTATTATTAAAAGATTGCGACCTAACATAAGCAAAGCTGAAGTATTAACAGGATCTGCGGAAGGAGAGGTTGTTTTGATTCCAAGAATTGATTTGTCCCCGTCTGACACTGGCCTCCCATTTAAATTAATTCATAGACAGTTTCCTGTGATACCAGCATTTGCAACAACTATTAATAAACCACAAGGACAAACTCTAGACCAGGGGTCCTCCAACTTTTTAAACATGGGGCCAGTTCACTGTCCCTCAGACCATTGGAGGGCTGGACTATAGTTTAAAAACTATGAACAAATTCCTATGCACACTGCACATATCTTATTTTGAAGTAAAAAAAAAAACAAAACGGTAACAAATACAATATTTGTATTTGCATGTGGCCTGTGGGCCGTAGTTTGAGGACCCCTGCTCTAGACACACTAGGAATATTCCTACCTGAACCGTTTTTGGACATGGTCAGTTATGTGTTGCTTTCTCTTGAGTTCAAAGACATTAAAGTTGTAAATACTTCATCACAAGGGAAATTAGTCAAGCACTCTGAAAGTGTTTTTACTCTTAATGTGGTATACAGGGAGATATTAGAATAAGTTTAATCAATTTATCATTGTTTTTATCAGTGTTGTTTTTATATCATGTTTTTGTTGCTTTTATATCATTTTTTGTTTTTATATGTCTTTGTTGTTATATCATGTTGATATGGTTTATTAATCAATTAATATAGTATTTTCATATACATTTTACTAACTTTCTTTCATCTCTGACACTTCTATTATAGAGAAAGGTGAATGGCAATATTAAAATATTCCTTCTTATTAAATTCCTTTCAATGTGCACGAATTTGTGCACTGGGCCACTAGTAAATCTATAATGCCTTATTAAGTTTCCTTAGCTATCATACCAATGTCACACCTAAAAATTACTTTCTCTACAATATCCAATATATATTCAGTTTCACCAGTTGCCCAGTACTGTGTTAAATTGTTATTGGGTCAGTAAATATAATATGGATAGGCGGAGGAATACATGAATAAAAAATATATGAATTATATAGCCAAATGGAAGGTAATAGGTGTAGGTCATAGTTGAGTTCAGGCAGGCTAGAGGTCATGGCAGGACTTATTAAGAAATGGGTCAACACAAGTGGAATAGGTGATTGGATTGGGAGTCAGGTGTATATAGGGATGGCACTGGTTGGGAAGGATAGCAGACCAGAGAGCAAGTCTCGGAATAGGTGCTGGGAGAAGAGTAGAACATTTGGACTGCATGGTTTGATGAATGAAAAGGATCTTCAGTAGAGCATTGCTTTTGATGATAGAATTACTTTGAAAGTTTTTGGCGTATTTGGTTGGCATTGTGTTGTCACTTCAGCTTGGAAAGGGCCTTTCTATGTTTGTCAGACTTAGTTTAGGCTCTGTGAAACCATGGAATTGTCCTCTTGTCCATTCAGAGATCTCTGTGTCTCTCTTGAAAGTGAGGGCATATTTGTGTCTGCTTAAGATGTCCAGTTGGAAGTCCACATTAGAGGTGTTGGATAAGTGCTTTGGTGGTAACCCTCTCCTCCCACACAGCACAGTTTGAACTCTTATTTTATACTTTTTGAGTATAACAACTTTTGTCCAACCCCTCCACCTTATATAATACATCTTATTTGAAGTAATTTTCTTTTGTTATTTTTTAAAATGGTATTTCAGCATACTAAAAAGCACAGGGGATAATATCTGCTTATGAACACTCTTTTGATAAATCTTTGCAATATTTGCTTTAGATTTTTTTTAAAAAGTGCAAACATAGTTAACTTTTGGGTATCTGCTTTTCATTGGCCCTATTCTTCCTGAATTTGCAGAGGTAACCACTACCCTGAATCTTAATGTCTGTTCTGGTGTATGTTTATAAAAATAGTTTTACTCATGTAGGGATCTAACAATACACAGTATTGTCCTGCCATTCTAAATTTATGAATAAGATTTCTCGTATCCCCAGAACTATCCTTAGTAAATGTTTATTTTTGAACCAGGATTTAAGAAGAGTTCACTCATTACATTTTGTTGTTCTGTCTACCTAACTTTTATTCTAGAATAATGACCCTACCCTTTTTTAAAAAAATGACATTGGTAGAAATTGTTTTCAACAATTATTTTGTGTTTAGATTTACCAACACTTCACTGATTTTTTTTTTTAATCAGTATTACTTCTTTTGTTCTACTTTTTCCTTTTGAGAAATATATCTAGAAGTATATCCATTACTTTTATTGTTGGACCCTTATTAGTAAAATCTCTAGTCTTTCTAGGATAATGCCTTTATTTTCACTTAAATCCTGAATGATAGTTTGACTGGATATATGATTCTAGATCAGTGATGGCGAACCTTTTGAGCTCGGCATGTCAGCATTTTGAAAAACCCTAACTTAACTCTGGTGCCGTGTCACATATAGAAATTTTTTGATATTTGCAACCATAGTAAAACAAAGACTTATATTTTTGATATGTATTTTACATATTTAAATGCCAGTTAACAAAGAAAAATAAAAAAAAAGTTTGCGTAGGAACTCATTTTTGGGACTCATTTTTTTGGTTGATTTTTCTTTGTTAAATCATAGGTTCATAGGTTCATAGGTTCACCATCACTGTTCTGGATAGACACTTATTTTTCCTTATGAATTTGATGATATGCTCTCGTTGCTTTCTGCCTTCTGTTGTTTCTGAGACATTTGATGCCATGTTGCTCTTAAGACTTTCATTTATTTATTTTTGTATTATGCAGGTTCATTGAGATGTTTCTGAATGTAGATTTGTTTTATTTAGTCTGTTTGGGACTCGTGTGTACTTTTTTATATGAAGGCTCATGTCTTTCTTTAGTTCTGAAAACTTATTCACTAATATCTTCTTTTTTTAAAAAAATATGTTTTTATTGATATTTTACAGAGAGGAAGGGAGAGGGAGAGTTAGAAATATCGATGAGAGAGAAACATCCATCAGCTGCCTCCTGCACACCCCCTACTGGGGATGTGCCTGCAACCAAGGTACATGCCCTTGACCGGAATCGAACCTGGGTCCTTTCAGTCCGCAGGCTGACGCTCTATCCACTGAGCCAAACCAGTTAGGGCACTAATATCTGTTCTTAATATTGCCTCTCTGTTAGTGTTTTTACCTTTTCCTTTTGTAAGTCCTATTGCTGGGACTTCTAATCCTGTCCTTCATATTTGGCTGCCTCTTGCACACTCCCTACTGGGGATGTGCCCGCACCCAAGGTACATGCCCTTGAACGGAATCGAACCTGGGACCCTTGAGTCCGCAGGCTGACGCTCTATCCACTGAGCCAAACCAGTTAGGGCACTAATGATCTCTTTAGTCAGGTGTAATTTCCTTTTTGACATGTCCATTTAGTATTGAGTTTTCATGAATGTACTTTTCATTTGCTTCTTTTTCAAAACTGCCGGTTCTTTATGTATCATCATATTTCATTTTGGCTTCTGTTGTTTTTTTTCTTTTAAAATGTACTGATCATTTAAAATGTACTGATTTTATCTTTGTCACTTTTTCTAATGTCTCTATTTTTAAGGTACTTCTGCTTCTATTTTCTCGCCTGCTAATTTTCATGTTGGTCTGTTTCCTATTGACTCATCTCAACATCTCCTCACCCCCAGAGGAGTCATGTGGGCCCTAAATTGTAGAAAGGTCTCTACAGAGTGGCCTAGGGTCCCACCTGTTTCCCTTGAGCTAGGCCAGTTGGTGTCTTTGGTTTGGGATTCCTACAACAAGTAGACAGTATAAGTTTTTATGCATCTCTTTTTTTGAGTAGGCTAGTTTTTTAATTTCCTCCCTCTCTTTTTCCCTGCCGCCCTCCCTCCTTTCCCTAGGACTCCAGGTAGACAGCAAGCTTCTCTGCTACTTCCCAGGTCCAGTTGGTAGAATTTTTATAATCCCCTTTTTGGGGCCGAGCAGCTTTTACAGTGTCCTGCCTTTATGGCAGTCTCTCAGATCTCAGCCTGAGTGACCTTAGATGGTATTTCTTGTTACCATGTAGGCATCAAGTCTCCAGTGTTGAGTCCTTGGAGCCTGCCTCATGGAGCTTTCATTTCTGTGTGAGCTTACCATGCTGACCATTCTTTCCATCTTTGGTTCTGGCATGTGACGATTTTTATTTTTATTCTGGGCATTTTTTTTTTTTTTATTCTTAAGTTTTATTTAGCAATTCTAGTGTGTTTATGGTAGGAGACAGTGTCTGCTTCACCTTGGTTTGCTTTGTACTGGTGAGTTCAGGTTTGTTTCTACGCCCTAAATGCTCTATTATGTCTGTCCCCTCCTTTGCCTCACATCTTAAGTGCTGTAGCTTAGTTTTTTTTTTATAATTTCTTGCCTGTAATTGTGTTCTAACTAACTACTCAGCCTCCAGTGCTCTATCTATTCCATATTACAAATGGCTCTCAGTGGTCTTTCTTTGGTGTAAATATGATCCTTTTCATCTCCTGGTGTAATACACATTAGTGGCTTCCTATCATCCATCACCTTTAGGAAAAAATAAAGAACAAAGTTCCAGATGCTTTTTAAAAAAAAATTTTTTTTAATTGATTTCAGAGAGAAAGGGAGAGGGGGAGAGAGATAGAAACATCAATGATGAGAGAGAATCAGTGATCACTGCCTCCTGCATTCCCCCTACTGGGAATTGAGCCTGCAACCAGGGCATGTGCCCTTGACCGGAAATGAACCTGGGACCCTTCAGTCTGCAGGCCAATGCTCTATCCACTGAGCCAAACCAGCTAGGGCAAGCATGTCAAACTCAAAGGCTAACACAGGCCAAATAAATGAGGCATGTGGTCCATGGGCCACAAGTTTGACATGCTTGGGCTAGGGCTCAAATGCTTTTTTACTTAGCAACTTTTACCTTACAAACTTTGTTATATACCACAACAAATGTATTTCAACAGTGCCTACCTCCATCAGATGGTGTTTATAGTTGTGTACAATCATTTTAGTTTATGGTTGTCTGGTAAGTTTGTGGTATATTTGTATTTGTGCTCATTTTTGGAATAATATATAAATCTCAGTAATTTCATTATAATTAGTAGCTGCAAAAGCATAGAGATTGAAAATGTTATAAGTTGGTATACTATTATGATGAATTAAAGGGAAAACTTTACATAGTGTACATTGGCTTCTTATATAGTAACTAGAAGCCTGGTGCATGAAATTTGTGCACGGGGGTGGGGAGGTGCAGCCCTCAGCCCAGCCTGCACCCTGTCCAATCTGGAACCCCTCGAGGGATTGGGCCTAAACAGGCTGTCAGACATCCCTCTCACAATCCAGGACGGCTGGCTCCCAACTGCTCGCATGGCTGATTGCCCCTAACTGCTTCTGCTGCCAGCCTGATCACACCCTAACCACTCCCCTGCCGTCCCGATTACCCCCAATTCTTCCCCTACTGGCCTGGTTGCCCCCAACTGCCCTTCTCTGCAGGCCTGGTTGCCCCCAACTGCCCTCCCCTGCAGGCGTAGTTGCCCCCAACTGCCCTCCCCTGCTGGCCTGGTCGCCCCCAACTGCCCTCCCCTGCAGGCCATCTTGTGGCCACATGGGGGCGGCCATCTTGTGTTTTGGAGTGATGGTCAATTTGCATATTACCGCTTTATTATATACTAGAAGCCCGTTGCACGAAGATTCACGCAATAGGCCTTCCTTCCCCTGGCTGCTGGCACCGGTTTCCCTCCGGCACCCCGGACCCAGGCCTTTGGTCTAGCCGCAGCAAGGCTTAGCTTCTCCACTGCGGCCGCAGTGAGGCTTGGCTTCTCCACTGCGACTGCAGGGGAGAAGCCAAGCCTCTTCAGTCTTTGGTCTTCACTCTGGCCAAAGCCTTCAGTCTTCTCTCCGCGCCTGTGTATGCAAAGCCACCACCATCTTTGTTGGGTTAATTTGCATAGTCGCTCTGATTGGCTGGTGGGCATAGCGGAGTGACACCAAATTGCATATTTCTCTTTTATTAGTGTAGATGATACTTTGGACATGTGTATAATAGTCTTTCAGAATCTAACGTGTTGAAAGAAGAGGAGCCCCTGGAATATCATCCTCTGTAATCTAGCAATGGCTTTCCTTAAAATTTAAAAACATATTAGAATGGAAAAACATACAGAGTAATTAATTTTTCTGTTCTTTTAGATACACCTAAACAGCATAACCAGGAAAATGATTGTAGAAGAGCCAGTGATGTACTGGGAACTGTATATGATCTAACCAACAGGTAAAACAAAATTGATTTTCATATTGATTTTCTTCCCCCTTTGTTAATAATAGTCCCATCTTTAGCCAGTTTCCAAGCTTTTTTAATGTGGGAGAGTCCATAATTTTCTTCTCTTAGACAGTATTTTTCCACGGCGAGTCTATATTTTCAGGAAAGATTCAACATTTCTGATACATGGGCGTATTTTTTTCTTCTTTATAAAAATGTTGGAATTCATGGGAATCGTCTCATTTTTTATGAAAAACACATATATGAAGATTATCTAATGTAAGTTTGGGAATTTGAATTCTTGTCTTTTTTGTCTGTGAACTTCTTTGAAACCACTTGTAGCTTTTGACTAAATCCTAGGTTTAGAACCTTTGAGTTCATCCACTTTATAGTTTTCAGCCTGTATTCAGCACCCTCTGGTTCTGTGGGTTGAATCTAATTCAGCCTGTTGGCAGTCCCACCTTTCCCACTTCAACTTGAGCAGTTTGCTCTTTTATCTCTATTATATGTTGGGGTTTTTATATACCATTTGATAAAAAGTCCATTCTTTTAAATAAAGAAAGGCTTCTGGTTCATTTAAATCCCATAATTTAACATGAAAAACTGAACCTACTTAATTTGTTGTAACTTAAGGCATATTCTTATATTTTTATTGCCTGTTTTTTCTGTTACCCCTTTTTGGCCCATAAAACTGATGCCAGATTATATAAGAACAAAAATTTTTTTTTTAAATCCTCACCTGAGGATATTTTTCCATTATTTTTAGAGAGAGTGAAAGGGAGAGGGAGAGACAGAGAGAGATATGTTGATTGGTTGCCTGATTGGTTGCCCCCTGCACGTGTCCCAACCAGGGCCCGGGATTGAGCCTACAACTGAGGTATGTGCCCTTGACCTGAATTGAACCCAGAACCCTTCAATCCGCAGGCCAACTCTCTATCTACTGAGCCAAACCAGCTAGGGCTATAAGCAAAAATCTTTAAACTAAATGTATGTAATATACTTGGGGAATATATTTGTTTTTTTTATTGAAATTAAGCATTATTAAGTAGCAATCAAATACTCCTTTGGGAATAGCCTTTGGCAAGAAATAGTCTTTTTCTTCAAGGAGCTCACCATCTTGTGATGGCATCTTAGTGCCCTTGGTGCATAGATTATTGGCTCTCCATCACAGCTTTTGGTCATTTTAATGTTGAGTTTTTGGAATAATTAAGATAAAATTGCAGTAGATAGTTAATTTTTTGCCTTTGATATGTAGATTATATTCGGTTTAGGAGAAGCTGAAATGAACAATTTCAGTGATTTTGAATTGTTTGGAAGGAGCATATTTGCTATTTTATAAAATATTTGCAAAGTGTTAATTTTATATTTCTGGCTATGAACAGAAAGTAAAGCACTGACATTTAAAATATATATATGTGTGTGTATTGATTTCAGAGAGGAAGGGAGAGGGGAGAGAGAGATAGAAACATCAGTGATAGAGAATCATTGTTTGGCTACCTCCTGCATGCCCCACACTGGGGATCGAGCCTGCAACCTGAGCATATGCCCTGACTGGGAATTGAACCCCGACCTCCTGGTTCATAGGTCGATGCTCAACCACTGAGCCACGCCAGCCGGGTGCACTGACATGGTTAATGTTGAAAAGTGGTCTCTGGTAATCCTGCCTTTCATATAACCTAGAATAGAAAAGCTTTTGGCCACAAGAAGACCCAGTCCATGATTGAATTTGAAAGTTCTTTCAAGATGAAGATAAAGTTGTCAATGTTTAATTAAAGGCTTTAGAAATTTAATAATTTATTTTATAATTATAATGAAAATGTACATAAGGTTTTTAAAAAAATATGTTTATTGATTTTTTTTTTTTTAAAGAGAGAGGAAGGGAAAGAGATAGAGAGATAGAAACATCAACAAGAGAGCAACATCATCTATCAGCTCCCTCCTATGCCCCCTACCAGGGATTGAGCCTGCAACCTGGGCTTATGCCCTGACTGGGAATTGAACCAGAGACCTTTTCATGGGTCAACATTCAATCACTGAGCCACACTGGCTGGGCAGGATACATAAGGTTTTTATGTTTATTCAAAGGAGCACTGGAATGTAAGAGATTAAGGAATACTATGTGTAGAATGCAACAAACAAAGTGAATAACCTTAGGACTATTGTTAGTATAACATATTTGCTATAGAGCAAAATTCAGCATAAGAGATTGATTTTGGTCATGAAATATCAAAAGAATCTGAAAGTCTCTGTTACAATGAAATTCTGTGATCTAAAGATTGAGGATGTTGTAATAATGCCAGTCTAATTAATTGAATTTGTTCTTACCCTTTATTCAAGCTTTTGAGCATTCATCAAATCATTTAACCCTTGTAAAAAATGCTGATGACTTAAAATATATAGCAGGTAAGGCAAATATTTATAATTTGGGAGGCAGATACACAAATTGAGCTGCAGTGCTGCTCTAATTGTCACCATACCTCCGTAGAATAAACTGCCTTTTGATGACCGGGACGAATTGAGAGAAATCGTAACGGACAGATACGGGGCAGACAGTTTTTTAAGAATATTCAGATATATAAAGTGTAAGGGATTTTTTCCTCCTCATAACTTGGATTTGTTTTGTTTTATTTTTTTTTTTTAGCCCTGCTTCTCTGTTTCAGCCAGTTTCATCATCAGATGGAAATAGTGTTACAATATTTGAAAAGGTACATTTTAAAACAATTTTTAATTCTGATTATATTTAGTATAAAATATTATTTTTGTTGATACCCCAATTAAATTAAATTAAAATTTTATTTTCACATTTCCCAGTATTTGCACATAATGTACCATTCCGATTTACAATTCCCTGTTGCTTCTACAGGGGAATATTGGAATTATTTAATTGTGCCAGTGAACATACAATTTTACAGTAATGTTAGTAAACTTTTATAGGTTCATGATAACTCAAGAACCTCTAATGAAAATCAGGCACAATTATTAAGGTTTTTAACATATGTCTGTCATCTTCAGGACATGAAGATTGGAACATCTAGAGAAAAAACTGAAACAATTTCTAAGAAAACACCAGAGTGTGAAGGGGAAGACTTTCCATCATCATATATTGCAAAGAATACAGAGAGCAGTGCATTAGGAGGACCTCTGCCAGTTAAAAAAATTGATCCATTCCAGAAAGAGCAAGATCACCTGGCAGAAGAGGTTAGAAAAAGATTGTAAAAAGTATACTGAAATAGCTGTTATTTTCTCTGTAGTGTTGTGATTGAAAATGAAGCACAGTTAATTATTGATTTACTGGGGGAAATTTGGGGAAGGAGGTCACAGATAATATATAAAAGTCATGGTTAAAGCAAAATTGCTCCTCCCCAAAGTAGAAATAGATTTCATATAAACTTACTTAGTTAAGATTATTTCCATGGTTTAGAACTCATGTCCCATCCTATAAATATCCAAAAGTATAAAAATAATAACATGTATGCTATTTTTGGAGTTAACCATTACATATCAGTTGTTGGGTAAATATACCCGATGGTTATGCTCTATTAAAATACTTCATGAATGATGTCTGTTGCTTAGCTGAGCTTCCTCTCTTTTTGAATATTAGAACAAGATATTATCACTGAGCAAAGTTTTTGTCCTGCTTTCTAAGTATTTCAAAAGAATTAAGTGCATCATTGTTCATGATCTAGGTTTTCCTAACTTAATGCTGTTCTACTTTTTATTGACAAGTGTCTACAATATTATTATTGCTCAGTAGTATTACAGAACTCAGTTTACACAAATGCTCAAGCATTTGTAATGTTATTTTTATTACAGTTTCCCACAACATCCCTTAGCATTGTTTGAATTGAGATAAGCATTCAGAGAATAAATTAGCTCCTGAGAGACAAAGAAAAATTTGGCTTAGTACTCTTTAAAAAAAAAAATGCATATATATATATATATATATATATATATATATATATATATAGTTTATTTTCCCATTGATTTTTAGAGAGAGTGGAAGGGAAGGGGAGAGACAGAGAGAGAGAAACATCGATGTGAGAGAGACACATCAATTGGTTGCCTCCTGCATCTCCCCCCCCCCCCCCCCCCCACCAGGGCTAGGGAACCTACAACCCAGGTACATGCCTTTGACCAGAATTGAACCCGGGACCCTTCAGTCCGTGGCCAGTGCTCCATCCACTGAGCCAAACCAGCTAGGGCTAGTTTAGTACATATTGATTCAGGTATTGGAGTTCTCTCTTTTATCTCAATTTTGATCAAAGTAAATGAATATTGTCCAAATAAGAGAGCTGGATGTCACATTTTTCTTGTTTGTAACATGAGGAGGTTAGGCCAGTTTTATGGTCTCTAAATATTTTTCTTAAAAATATTTTTATTGATTTTTAGAGAGAGAGGAAGGGAAAGGGAGAGAGAAAAGCATCGATGTGAGAATGAAACATGGTTTGGCTGCTTCCTGCATGCATCCTACTGGGTTATCCAGCTGAAACCTGGGTTTGTGCCCCAAACTGGGAATCGAACTGTGGCCACATTTTGGTGCACCGGACAATGCCCACCCACCTGACCCACAGCGGCTAGGGCTCTAAGTATTTTTAAATTTCTAAAGTCCTATTGTTTTCTTTGTTAGGTGATTACACTAAAGAAAAGATGGTCAGTCTTTTTTCTTTCCCAATGGAAGGAAAGGCACATTTTCTGGTTAAAAGTATTTATAATAGCAGTGGAATGGATGTGATGGAAAAGGAGAGCCCTAAAAACTTCAAAAAGCTCTGAAAATAAAGTGAAATGAATCTTATTTAATAGTGTTGGTGACAGGAATATTTAGTATTTGAATTCTAAAAAGCCCTGTTTTCACAAAGGAGGGCCAATTTGATTATGGTTGTTGGAAATTTATTTTTTATGGATTTCAAGGAGCAGATATTTTAATTTGCATATTTTTTGGATTTATTCACTTTTAATTAATACAGAGTGCTATTTTCATTTTGTATACTTTTTTTTATTTTAGAAAGTATCTATATGCCTTGTTCACTAATTTATATTTGATAATGAGATTTCTGGCAAAGAAATATGTTGTCAGAATGTATTCTATTTATTAATAGAAGAGTTACTGTGCAAATGTTTTATAATTAAGAATCTGCTTGCTTTAAAACTATCATTTTAGCAGCTATAGAGTTGTCAAGCTCAATGATGTAGCAGATGGTAGTTTAGTTTAGGTCACTGTGTAGTCAGAACTACCTCCAAATCTTCCTAAGTATAAAGAGTCTTATATGTTCTCTCCTTTATAATGGGATATCCATTTAAAATAAGGGAGGAAACTGTTTTGTGTTACCTTATAGCAGCAATTTTCAACTGATGCCGCAAGGATTTTTAAAACGTGCAATACCTGACTATTTAGTCAGGGCCACTGACCTCTTTTCTCTTAGATTGTCAATAAAAAAATGACAACAGCTAGTACAACAATAGCCATCTGATGTGAATTAATAAAAATTATATTTATTATTTTTGTCATATCGGCATACAACATACTTTTTGATGTGCCGCAGAATTTTAGTAATTAGTTTATGTGTGCCTTTAAATGAAAACGATGGAAAATGGCTGCCTCGTAGGATTGTGCCTGGATAGTCTGTAGGGGGTATGTGGGAGCCACACTGTTGAGTGTACTTTTATGCCATCTGCAGTGGGAAGGGCTGCTGACGAAAGTGCTTTCTGTTATTATCAGGGCTTTTGTTGCATTCTATCAATGGGCTTAATTTGGGGGTAATTTTTGCTTTACCTTTTCTTTTCTGTTTTAGGTTGTGAGGACAGTATTATCTGATTCACCACAGCTCTCTACGGGAAAAGAAGTAAAATTAGAGGAACTGATTGACTCTCTAGTTTCTAACCCATTCTTAACTAGGAAACAAATTCCCCGAACTCCAGAAAACTTGAGTAAGTTAATAATGTTTTCTATCACTTATTTTCTTTTTTATATATTAAAACTATGGTCTGACAAATCTTTTGGAAGCTCACTTTAAAACTCTTTTACTGCCCTAGCTGGTTTGGCTCAGTGGCTAGAGCGTTGACCTTCGGACTGAAGGGTCCCCCGTTCAGTTCTGGTCAAGGGCACATGCCCAGGTTGTGGACTCAATCCCAGTAGGGGGTGTGCAGGAGGCAGCCGATTAATGATTCTCTCTCATCATTGATGTTTCTGTCTCCTTTTCCCTTCCTCTCTGAAATCAACAAAAATATATTAAAAAACAAAAACTCTTTTACTTAAGTTTAGTGGCAATGGGTTTTTGTTTTGACGTAAGGGATTTTTATCGAAGTATTACATGTGGGCACTCTCACTTATATGGCAGTCCTCTTCAGTAAAATTATTTTGCCCTGATACTGTACAATTTTGTTTTTTGTTTTACTTGACTTTTTCCTGGAAAATATTTTAGTTGATCACTTAAAAAATCCTCTGCCTTCACATCTGATCTGTGATCAATATTTATAGAGTATAGAGGTTTGATCTCCCAGGCAGTAACCAGCAGCATCAGCCAAAAACTGTGTGCTCAGAGATCTTCCCTACCTCTCTTAAGCCGGCCAGAATGCCCAATACATTTTTAAAAAATATGTTTTTATTTATTTCAGAGAGGGAGGGAGGGAGAGATAGAAACATCAATGATGAGAGAGAATCATTGATCGGCTGCCTCCTGCACACCCTCCAGTGGGGATTGAGCCCACAACCCAGGCATGTACCCTTGACTGGAATCGAACCTGGGACCCTTCAGTCCATAGGCCAACACTCTATCCACTGAGCCAAACTGGCTAGGGGCCAATAAATTTTTTTTAATAACTTATAATTTGTGTAGATAAAGTTCTGATACTGTCCTTATGTAGGCACATCATCCTGGTTGAGTGGTTAAATATAATTTCCATTTTGCTGCTAGAAATAATATATTCAAATTTAAATTGATCACTTCAGGTTGAATTGAATCACAAAGCCTAACACACTGTTTTTGCAAAGTTATATTGAACACAACCTTGCTCATTTGTCAACATATTGTTTATGGATGCTTTTATGCTACAGTGGCAGAGTTAAATAGTTGATGTAGACCACATGGCCTGCAAAGCCTAAAATATTACTTACTCTCTGGCCTTTTACAGAAAAGGTTTGCTGAACTCTGTCCAAAATATCTTTTTGATACATACAATTTGTATGTGCTGTGTGAAAGTATATGTACATTTCAGGAATAGGTTTTGTTATTTGTGTGTGATTAGTTGGAGATAAGTTCTTTGATCTTGTTGGGCTTTGGTATATTGTGGAGCCTTCTCATTCAGCTAGCATATCTGTGGAACATATACTCAGTAGCTTTATCTTGAGCACTAGAAATGAAATGTTTATTTGCATGCTGTGTTTGGGAATATTGGTAACTTATGGGTTTTTTTTCTCCCCCTTTAATTAGTCAGTGATATTAGGAGCTCATGGAGAAAAGCTATTAAAATAGAAGATAACAGAAGTACAGAATCAATTCAAATGGATACTGAACATAGAGAAAGTTTTAAGGATATTGATTTTGGCATATTACATGAAACTCTTCCAGAAGATGTTGGTCATTTAAGTCTTAATAGCTCCAGTAGTACAGAGGCCAATTTCAAACTGGAACCAAATAGTCCTATGAACAGTAGTGTTTTCTCAGAAGATGTTGTGGGAGAAAGACAGACTACTCCAAAATCAGACTCCCATGTACAGGCTATTTACAGTACATATGAGGCTCTGAAAAAATCTCTTATCAAGAAAAAGGAAGAAACTTACCTCTTTAATTCTGAAATACCTGAAAGACACAAACAAGAATTGAGCCCTGCTCCTCAAACCATGCAAACAGATGATATGCTTAACCTGCTGGACACTCAAGATTTGCATACTGACTATACAAAACCATCTTTACGAATGTCCCCTGGTGAAAGAAAACGGTCTCTTTCACCACTAATTAAGTTTTCTCCAGTGGAACAAAGATTGGGGACCACGAGGCCATGTAGTCTTGGAGAACTTCCACCTTATTTAAAAGGTAAGATTAAATAAACCTGTGCGTGTTAACTTACTAAAGTTTCTCTCAACTTCTTATAAAAATAGTAAACAATGAATGCTATATGATCTTTGTTAATGTGACAAAATATGCTCATTCTTTTGGCTAGGATGAGATAAGTGTACCCATCACTATTACGGGTACACTTTCAGAATCTCTAGTGATGTGTATGTGGTTTACAATTAGTCTGGGATGGTTTAAAAACAAACCAAAAACTTGAAACCTATTGCTTTTGTAATACAAACTAATAAAGGTAAATTTCATCAAAATCTTCTTGGTTACTGGAAGATGGTTCTAAAAAAGTTGAGAAACACTGTTAAATATCATTTTTGTAATATAATATCTGTGATTTGCTTTAAAATAAATTTGGTGTGGGTGGGATGATAAAACAAGGTCAGTGTATTAGTTTTCTAGGTCTACCAAAGCAAACTGAGTGGCTTAAGTTGAAATTTATTGTCTCTGCAAATAAGTTTTGGAGGCTAGAAACCAGCCTCAAAGTGTTGGCAAGAACCATGCTCTCTGAAGCCACTAGACTAGAGGAAGATCCTTCTTGCCTCTTCTGGTAGCCTCAGGTGTTCTTTGGCTTGTGGCAGCAAAACTCTATACTTGCTCTGCCTTCCTCCTCACATGGCGTTCTCCCTCGTGTGTCTCTGCACTTTCTTATAAGGGTCCGTCCTACTCTACAGTGACCTCATCTTAACTGATCATATCTGCAGTGACCTTATTGGAAACTTCAACATATCTGTGTGGGGGACACAATTTAACTCATTAATAGTTAGTATTAAATAATTATTGAATTATTGAAGCAAACTACATTAGGTTAATCATAATTCTCTTTTATATATGTTTGAAAATTTTCAACGTAAAGAGTTAAAAAAACTGCTCTTAAAGCATGTTAGAACAGATATGGGTCTGGTGATAATTCATTATATGTCACTCTGATTTGCCCATGATAATTAAAAACTGGTATATTGAAAAGTATTCTAAGAGGGTTAAAAAAAAAAGTATTCTAGGAGGGATATATTGATATTCTCTGGAGAATACCTCAGTGAGAATGATGGTAATTTTATCATAGTTAAATATATATATGTGAACTTTATCCTTAAGAAGACTGAAATTTGCTACTACTTGGAGCCTGTGCTATTTGATTTTTTTGGTAATGTTTGTGTATCCTTTTCTCTTTTTTAAAATCAATTTTGCAGAAGCAGAAATCTTGAATAAGAGCCTTGATGCAAAAGAATCGCCGTCTGAGTTGAAGAGATAATTTACTTACGTTGCACACTTCAGTTGAAGCAAGTTGATTTAAAAATAGACTTATAGCCCTAGCTGATGTGGCTCAGTAGGTTGAGCATCCTCCCATGAAATGAGAAGTCACCGGTTCGATTCCTGGTCAGGGCACATGCCCCGGTTGCTGGCTTGTAGGAATTGTGCAGGAGGTAGCTGGTTGATGTTTCTCTTGCACATTGGTGTTTCTCTCCCTCTCCTTTTCTCTCGCTAAAATAAATAAAAACAACACAAAAACACCTCAGACTTATAGGGGTGAGTGGAGGTGGAGGAGTTATAGAGGGGATAAATGGTGATGAAAAAAAAACAAAGCCAAAAAAATTTAAAAGACCCCCAAAACTGACATTTTTCAAGGTCTAAAAAGTCTTAAATAATTCCCTTTAGCCTCTTCTAATGTTTTTAGGTAAGTGGAGTTGAAATGTGAAGTATTTGGAAAGCAAACATCAAGTTATGTGAAGCCATTTTGATTTCTTGAATAATCTTATAAGCATTAAGAAAATGGCAAAGTAGTAGTTAAATTTACTATAATTTCAGTGAACTAACATAAGGATGAGTAGTTTTTGATGTACATTTATTACATGGTTAAGATAATAGCCATTGAATACATTGATCTTTCATTTTAGGGAAATATAGAACTTTTATTATTTCTTAATGAAACATTCTGGTACCAACAAAAAAAATAAAAGAGAAAAATAGTGCTTTGAGCTGTGTAGTCAAAAGGACAAAGTTTGGGAAGCTCTAAATAGGTTTCATGATTGATTATTCAAGTAGGTTGATGCTGAAAAATGATATTTTATGGAATAAAGTGCATGTGGTATGTGAAGACTGGAGCAGAATGAATTTAATAAAGGAAAAAGATGGAAGATGACTAGACACTTTTAAGGAATACTATCAAACTGAATCCATTCATTGGGTTGTATAGCAGATTTATATTTAGTCTAATTTAGACTATGAGAATTTAACTTAACCCTACTTTTATATTTTAACAGAAAAGAATGCAAATTAAAAAATGTCTGTGTGTTTTCTTTTATTGGGGGGCAGGCGGTGAGGGCACTGTTTTGTGGGAAAGGAGCTAATTTTGATTATATTGCTTTCTTCCTCAGTTCCCCAAAGCCTACAGAACAGTCTCAAAATAACTTGAGAAAACTGAATTTGGGGTTAAATTACTTGTTCAGTGTCACACAGCTAAGTCAGTGGTAAAGCTAGGATTTGACCCTATTTTCTTTCCTTAATAAACCACAAGTAACTAAAAGGCCAGGACAGTAGGATATGGCTCAGAAATGGGAGTCAGATGTAAGGCCTCTTGTACAAAACCCTGCCTCACTCAGCCATGGTGTCTGGCCGAGAAAAGGGCTTGTCTCTAGAATCAAGTGAGTATATCCCATAGCTCTCCATGAATCAGGAGGAATGAGTACACACTGAAAGACATAGCACCAACAGTACCCCTCTATCTTGTCCCAACTCTTAACCATTAAAATCATGTCCACCTGCCAAGAAACTGACAGGGGGAGGAGAAAAGGGGAGGGGAGAGTTCTGGAAGTAGGTGGGCTTAATTATCTTTCACTCATTTTGGGCTTCTCTAAGTTGTTTGTTCAATCCCAGTTTGAAGGCCAGTCTGTGAGAAACGACAGAAAAAAGCACATATTTTGCAGTGGGAAAAAAAAAAAGCTCCTAAGGTGCTATATTCCTTTATTAGTTAATAGAACAAATAAGGGACTTTATAGGTATACTGGGAAACTAAGTTCTCTAGTCTAACTTAAGAAAACTCAGTATCTGTAAATCCAAAATTAATGTTAGGAAGGATAGGGCGTCATCTACTAAGTACCAGAGCCATTACTAGTCACTTAATATATATGATTTCATCTAATTCTTACCCTGTTAAGATAGTGATTATTATACCTGTTTTGTAGATGGGCTGAAGCCAGGGAGCTTACATGACTTGTCTTAACCTCTAGAGTGCCGGTTCCTCTTTCCCCAAAAGTGCCAGGAGTGGGAGCGCTATCGCGCTCCTCCTGCAGTGTCACTATTAGATGCTAGTTTTTCACTCTTTATGGACAGATGGCACCTAAGTGCAGATTACTTATGATGCCGAATGTTTGTAGTTCTAAAATTGACCACTGTCATTTATCTACCTAATTTTCATAATTTTTTCCCTAAACTGCTGTAAAAGCAGCAAAAATGCCTTGGCAATTTTGGCATAGTTCCTAGGATATTGGTTGGCACTAAAAGGGTTAAATGGACTCAGGGAATCACCTGCAATACATAGATTCTATAGGTCTAAAATGGGGATTAGGAATCTGCATTTTAAATATACTTCCTTGGTAATTATCAGACTAAGAGCTAACCCTAGCCAAGTTAGCTCAGTTGGTTAGAGCATCATCCTGATATGCTAAAGTTGAGGGCTCAATCCTCAGTCTAACCAACAGAGCCACCCCACCAGGGCAGTCAATTTTATCTAAAGGAAAAACAGGAATTCTTGAGACCTGTATAAAAGGAAACCCTATTTTTTCCTACTCGGAATAAACTAAAATATGTTTAAGGACATTTTCCTCAATGTAAGGAAAGTGTATGCTAAAGTAAAATTCTCTTTTACATGTTACATATGCATAGTTCTCCCTAGTGAATGTCAAGTCTACATCCTAAATTTAAAATATTTGTGGGTCCCCTATGAGACTATTTGTAAATATGTTCTACATGCTCTAGTACTAAACAAACATTCAATATTGTATCACTTGGCTATGGAACTTGCTAGATATAAAAAAGAACCATGCCCTTCAAACCACAAAATGATCACATATAACCAGTAACTTGATCAACAAAAATTTGTGAGATTCAGATACAAGCATTTTGTTACTGCCATTTTAATTATTAGAGTCACTAATGTGGTACTTTAAAAAGTACATTTATACCTTCAGAGTTTTTTTCATCTGGAACCTTTATAGTAACTTATTGCCAAAGGCTCCAAGTAGATGAGTTTAATTACTTGCATCTGGTTAGCTTCTTGCTCTTCACAGGTAGGGGACCTTGTCATCCACATACAGCTGTAAAGTTGTATTGCTTATATTTAATCTGTATACAGAGCTAATGTCTCATTTGTAAAAAGAGGTGAGAGGAGTTGATCAGAGGTTTCTTGGCTCTAAAATATGTAGATTGCTTTAATCTTTAAGGCAACTGGAAAGGTACATTTTAGATCTGTTTTCTCATTTCACCATACCACATTGCCAGTCCAAATTAGGAATCTTATCTGTCCCTCAAAGTAGTTAATCTAAGAATTGGATTCAGTATTATCCAATTTCCAGGCAAATGCAGATGGGAAAGTGATCTTGCCCAAAAGTGACCTAACCACTATTGAGAGAAATTATTTAACTTACTGGGCTTCAGTTTCCTCCTCCTATAAAGGGAATTATATAAAGTAATGTTCATACACTTCAAAAGCTAGGATTTTTATGATTAACACTTATCAGTGGGATAGTAATGGGATGTAATAGGAAAGGGGGAGGATCTGTAATCATATTGCCTAGGTTCAGCTCTATTAGGCCATACCAATTTTCTCATTTATTAAAGTAGAGATAAAAGTAATTTACTTCATAGGTTGTGAGGATTAATAAGAAAATGCACATCAAGTGTTAAGAATACCTGGCATTTAGTAAGGGTTCAATATGTTGCTAGGCTCCATGTCCAGTAATTTTGGAGTATGTGTGTGGGGTTGGGGCAAAAAGAATGGCTTAGGTGGTGGTATTGCTAGCTGACACAGTACTGAGTATGTGCCAGGCACCATTCTAAATGCTTTCTATGTTTTAATTGAGTCCTTTTAACAATCCTATTTTGTAGTGCTATTCTTATCCACATTTTATAAATGAGAAAACAAAACCCAACAGCAAAATTAAATACCTTGCCCGGGTTACAGAGCTAGTAAGTGAAGGCACTAGAAAGAATACCAACTCAGCTCAGGGGGTCTAGCTCCAGATTCAATGTTCAATCACTGTTACAGTTGCTATGAAACATCCCTCAGGTGATGGGGGGGGCTAAGATCACAAAATCAAATTTACCAGTAAACCAATACTTGTGGGCAGGCAGAGTCTTTAGATTTACATATTAACCCCTTCAAATTATTTCAAATAAGACCATATTTTAAATTGCTAACAGCAAATGTTTATTTATGACTGAAGCCAAGAAGAATTTATAAATGCATTTTAATATCTTGCTGATAAAATAGTAACATTCCACCTTTGCAATCTTGCAAGGAATACAGGAAGATATTGTAAAGGCTTTGATGTGTATATCTATTACAACCAGGTAATCGGAACACACACGCACACCACACACACCACCTACTTTAGTGTTACACCATACCAACTTTTCAGAAAGGCCATCTTAAAGCTCTACTGGATAGCTGAGGAAAGAGTGTCCGAGATTTAAAGAATGGGGAGCAGGGAAGAGATGGAAGTAGTAAGCAGCACACAACTGAAAGCCCACTTCGAAGCACACGACATTATGAATACTAAAAGGATGCGGGGGAGGGAGGGAGGGAAGGCATTTCAGCATCTTCAGAGAGGGCATTTGGCAACATTCAACGCATGAGGAGGCTGTGCTTGGGACCATCCACCCTCTCCAGCTTCTCAAAGTGTTTCCTGGCATTGCGAATGTTGATCAGCGTGGCCGCAGACGGGATCGACGGATCCGACATCACCACCATCACGTACGTGTTTGAGGTGAAGATGTCGATGAAAGCGGCGAAGTTGGAATTTCTAACTTCCATGCTCTGGAAAGAAGCGGCCAATTTACTGCAGCTCAGCTTGAACTGCTTGATGATGTTGCTGATCTTCTCAAATCGGTGCACGTCGCGCTGCTCTTTGCACTGGTAATGGGAAATGACCAGGAACGTCGCTCTCTCGAACAGCAGCACTTCGTCGGCCTCAATAATTTGGGCAAAATTCCTCAGGTTCATCTCCAGCTGCTGGACGTTGGGAATCAGCTGGTAGACAATGCTGGACCAGGCTTTGTAGAGCGTCTCGTCCCAGATGGAGGTTCGGAAACAAGCGCACTCCAGGGGGCGAGACAAGCGCCGGAGGTCTTCCTCTCGCTCCTTGAAAATCAGGTCACGCTGATCCTCCTGAACCAGATCCATTTTGTG